CTTACAGATCATTTAATTAGCAAACAAATAAAACAAATAATTTGGAAGAAGAAAACAAATGTTTGATTAAAAGGTAGAAGTCTAGAATTAAGTGCTGAAGTTTTTATCTTAGCGATATATTCTATATATAAATTATCCAATATTAAAGTTCTTGAAAAAATATACGTTCTGGCTAGATAGTTGTGAAAGTGTGAAGATAATCGCTAGAAATCTATTTTAGTATACTGCTTCATTCTGTTCTAGTAATCTATATACACATTACAAATATTGCCTGTCAGAACAAAATCTAGTCTTAAGTGTATTCATACAATTAACTAGACTCTCATGTCAAACAAACAGTCGACATCCAGTACTTCAACTTTCCTCACTGTTATGTATTCTTGATTTCCCTGTGAACTGCTAATCATGGTGTGTTAGGGATCTGTGAGTCTTTTAGCTCGACCAGATATAGGTGTCTCCAACCTCAGCCCTTCTCTTACAAATTACATGCTCACTGATTATTGTTTTATTGCCTCTTCTCCTGGATGGTTTTTAGGAATTGCTATCTCTTTGATCTCTTACTGAATTGATCTTTGATTTTTATTCATCCACAGTTGTGCTACTTTACATTTATCATCATTCTTATTTTATATCTCCACTTTGTAGTATTCCTAGAGAGCAGGTAATTATTGATCTGTTGGGAGAAGTTGCCTGACTGACTGAGAGAGTAAATTATCCATGCACAAAGATAATAGGTGCTCTCATTTGCCAGTTTTCTCACGATATTAATATGTTTAGGCTTCCTTTCCCTCAACCCCAGATCTTCAAAATTCATTCTAAAGAGCAAGAATTTTTTAAAATCAACATTTTAGTTACAGATTTATTTTCAGCGATTTCTTTTTCACAAACTTGGGTCCTGGCCTCTGCTTTCTCCATCTGTTGCTCCACATTCACCATACGCCTGTCTAGTTTCCCAACTTTTGATGAGAAGTTTTCTGCCTTGCCTTCTATTGAGGACAATGTGTCTTTCATTGTCCTGAATTTACATGAAGTGACTTCATCATCATAAGGGGCATCTGCTGTGCTGCTCTGTAGAAGAGCCCATCGAATTCATGAAGATAGACAAGATGCTGGCTTCATCTTGTGCCAGAGCAGAAGAACAAATCGACTTAAAGACATTGTTCTTGTTGTTCAGGGCACAATTCACTGTACTTTGCAGATCCAGGTGTCTTAGGAAACTTGAATGAGCTGCTCCAAATGACAACAATGAACTGTCAAGATAGAAGATTTTCAGTGTTCAGTTTCCACCCCTCTCATCCACTATATTATTTGATCTGGTAATATTTATATAAAGACTGAATCACAATTCTATTGTGTTAATTAGTGGCATGATCCCACAGTACAACTCTGGGAGTACACTACTGCTAAGGTATGTCTGTTTGGGGTATATACATTACACTACAGAAACAAACAAAAAAAATCCAAGCAGTCTTCCCTCAAAACACGTATTTAAGCAGAAGTCTTCAGTTCTACTTCTAAACCTATGGAGATGTGATTTCATCTGTTAAAAGTTTCTGATTTTTAAAAAAATAACAACAGGTGTTTGTGCATGTGTTTAGTGATATTCAGGTGACATGGGCATGCTTGGTGTGACTAAAATGGAGACTTGGTTTGGCTTCATACCCTCTAGCTGTATACAGTATGTTTCACTCCTAGCTGATGCATAGGACCAATTCTTCAACTTAATTCTGGACCAATTCTTCAACTTAATTCTGCCTAACGGAGGGCCCCTCCCAGACAGGCCTATATCCCAGGATCTGATTCCTGGTTTTCCACTTCAAACAGGATTATATGAGTCCACACTGCAAGCTAATCTGGGATAAACAGAAAACCTGAGATCAGATCCTGGTATATAGGGCCTGTCTGGAAGGGCCCAGAAGTAACTAAAGGCTTGCATTGTGTTGTAATCCGAGTTGCTAATATTTGGTGTAAAATTAGCGTGTTGTTGTTGTTCATTCGTTCAGTCGTCTCCGACTCTTCGTGACCTCATGGACCAGCCCACGCCAGAGCTCCCTGTCGGCCGTTACCACCCCCAGCTCTCTCAAGGTCAGTCCAGTCACTTCAAGGATGCCATCCATCCATCTTGCCCTTGGTCGGCCCCTCTTCCTTTTGCCTTCCACTTTCCCCAGCATAATTGTCTTCTCTAGGCTTTCCTGTCTCCTCATGATGTGGCCAAAGTACTTCAACTTTGTCTCTAGTATCCTTCCCTCCAGTGAGCAGTCGGGCTTTATTTCCTGGAGGATGGACTGGTTGGATCTTCTCGCAGTCCAAGGCACTCTCAGAAATTTCCTCCAACACCACAGCTCAAAAGCATCTATCTTCCTTCGCTCAGCCTTCCCTAAGGTCCAGCTCTCACATCCGTAGGTTACTAAAGGGAATACCATGGCTTTGACTAGGCGGATCTTTGTTGCCAGTCTGATGTCTCTACTCTTTACTATTTTATCGAGATTGGACATTGCTCTCCTCCCAAGAAGTAAGCGTCTTCTGATTTCCTGGCCACAGTCTGCATCTGCAGTAATCTTTGCACCTAGAAATACAAAGTCTGTCACGGCCTCCACATTTTCTCCCTCTATTTTCCAGTTGTCAACCATTCTTGTTGCCATAATCTTGTTTTATGTTTAACTGCAACCCAGCTTTTGCGCTTTCTTCTTTCACCTTGATTAGAAGGCTCCTCAGCTCCTCCTCACTTTCGGCCATCAAAGTGGTGTCATCTGCATATCTAAGGTTGTTAATGTTTCTTCCAGCAATTTTTACCCCAGCCTTGCATTCATCAAGCCCCACACATCGCATGATGTGTTCTGCATACAAGTTGAATAGGTTGGTGGAGAGTATACAACCCTGCCGTACGCCTTTCCCAATCTTGAACCAGTCTGTTGTTCCATGTCAGTTCTTACTGTTGCTACTTGGTCCTTATACAGATTCCTCAGGAGAGAGACAAGGTGGCTTGGATGCCCATCCCACCAAGAACTTGCCACAATTTATTATGATCCACACAGTCAAAGGCTTTAGAATAGTCAATGAAGCAGAAGTAGATGTTTTTTCTGAAACTCCCTGCCTTTCTCCATTATCCAGCGGATATTGGCAATTTGGTCTCTCGTTCCTCTACCTTTTCTAAACCCAGCTTGAACATCTGGCAACTCTCGCTCCATGTATTGCTGGAGTCTTCCTTGCAGGATCTTGAGCATTACCTTACTGGCATGAGAAATAAGGGCCACTGTACGGAAGTTTGAGCAGTCTTTCGCATTTCCCTTTAAATTAGCGTACACACAGACTAATACATGTAATAGATATTTTGAGTATCAGAGGAAAGCAAGTATTTAATGTAATTGAGTGAGTTAGGTATTTGCCTATGAGAATGCCTTATTCTTTTATTTCCATACTTGCGTTTTAATAAGTGGTCACTAGAAATATCTGTTCTTTCCAAGACATGTGAAATGATGGCAGTTGAAATAAGTGATCATTTCATTTTAAATTTCTCTTTCAACTGCGCTTTAAGGATTTGCAGCTTTCAGTTTTTACAGTAACACTCTCAATTACATCTCAAAGGACTTGTAGATAGACCAGTATCAATGACCACTAAGTTTTCATCTACTTCAGTCATCTCATTTTTGTTTTATGCTAATTTTTGGTATTGGTCTAAAAACTGATAAGGAATTTTAAAAACGTAACTTTAGGTTATTTATATGTAAAGCAGGGTTGGGCAAGTTGTGACCTGTAGGCTATATGCAAATTAACCCCTTTAGGCAACCCTTCCCTCATTCTTCTTTGGCCACTTATAGTGTCACACCCAGCCAATCAAATTCAAAAGAATTCATTCCCTAGTTTGGTTGGCTGCCTAAAATCAGAGGCATACTGCTATAGTTAAAGGTGTTGGAGATCAGTGTTACAGCTAGAGGCATCCATTCTCCAGTCTAATCCCAAGAAGCAGAAGGCAGAAGCTAGTACAGCCACAACCCATGGCTCACCATAAATGTCCACCTCTACAAACTCACTGCTTCTTAAATGTCTGGCTCTGTGGTCTTCAGAGCCATAGTACATAGGAGAAGCCAGGGTGGGGTGGGGTGGGGTGGGGTGAGGGAGTAGACCTGCATTTCTGCATAGTTGAGTTAACTAGTTACCCCTGCCTCTCGCGCAGAGCCAGGTATTCATAGAACTGGGCATGGAATTTGGCATGCTGTTGCCTCCACATTCGTTGGGGTTGAGAATAAGGAAATGCTGTAGCTGGCAAACAGGCAGATTAGCAGCTTGGAAACAAACTGGATTATGGATGGAAGGACACATAGGAAAAATGGCAGTGGGGTGTGATGCCTTGATGTAATCTGGGGGGATGGAGACATTGATGCAACTTCAAATTACTAATTTAAATAATTTATTCTACATATTTTAATGTAGTTTTCAGTTTCTGTACATTCAATTTTTAAAAAATTAAAAATAAAAGTGCATCCCTTAAATACTTGACTTAATTGGAGGTGGAATCTGCATCAGCTGCAGATACATTGATGTAATAATTGAATTATTCTTTCACTTACTAATTTTCACTACATAATTTAGACTTGAAATATGTTATTATGATCTGTATTTTCATTTATATCCTGCCTTCTCCCCCAGAAACTTGAGTGTTAAGGCATCTTATGATTGCATCTATTCCAGACTACTGAAGTCTATGTGCCTTCATATTTGCCTGTCAATTGACAGCTACCCCTTGAATTTCGTAGGGTTTTCTTAGGCAAGGAGTATTCAGAAATGGTTTTCCCATAGAAGCACTAACTAAGTCTGACCCTGCTTTGTTTACAAGATCAGACAAGATTTTATGTCTTAGGGGCATTTAGGGCAATGCCAGACTGGTAGATAATCTAAAAAAAAGTTCTGTAGTAATAGTGAGAAATTCAGTTAAACGTTTACATTATTGCGAACAGAATGTAATTTTCACTCTTTAGTTAAAATAACTCTCTTTCACTCAGAGACTGGTGAACTGGACTCAGCAGATGAAGACAGTGTAGATGCTACACAGGTGAATGGAATTAACTTTGATCTCTCTGTATCATCAATGGCTGAGATTGCATCATGCAGTTATGAAGCCAGGTAAGAAGAAACTATATTTTTGAATGATCATTGGTAGCAACTTGTTTTTCTTTTTTCTTGTTTTGCCTGTGCAATGTCTGTCTTTCATGCATGGGAAAGGATGAGAAGAAAGAAGGAGGAGGAGCTGTTTTTCTGCAATTCAAAAATAGTACACTTGTACTGTTGCATATCTTAAGCAAATGATTTCCTTGTTCACCTGTATTACTTGAACATCCTTCAACATGAAATCTTTTACAGGCAGTCCCCAAGTCTCCAAGTTTTAGAGCCCCCTGTGGCGCAGTGAGTTAAACCACTGAGCTGCTGAACTTGCTTACCAAAAGATTGCAGGTTCTTAAAAAACATGCAAATGTGAGTAGATCAATAGGTACCGCCCTGGCTGGAAGGTAGTGGTGCTCCATGCAGTCATGCCAGCCACATTGCCTTGGAGGTGTCTACAGACAACGCTGGCTCTTCGGCTTAGAAATGGAAATAAGCACCAACCCACAGAGTCTGGACACAACTGGACTTCATGCCAGAGGAAAACCTTTACCCTTTACCTTTTACCCCAAGTTGTGAGCAAGATAGGTTCTGTAGGTTTGTTCTTGAGATGAATTTGCTTATAAGTCTGAACATTTTCAAAGTGTAACTCCAGCTCTCCCCCACTTCTACATATATGCTTTGGATAGTATAGGGAAGGTTTAACACCCATGTGGTGTTTGTTTCGATATCTGTGGCCCTCTTCAGAAGATTTCACCTCAGTTTCTGTCCCTGTGATCATTGGATTTTGAAAAAATGTGGGTTGTTGTGGAAACAAGGACTGGAGATAAAGCTTCAATGGAGACACATTTCCCCCATGATAACTCTTCCAGGAGTGAATTTTTCTTCTGAGAGGTAGATTTCTCTCACTTTTTGTTGTCTTATCTCCCGTTCTTAACTAGGAGTCATTTGTAAGTCATGTGTTTATAATTCTGAGATTGCCTGTAGTCTTTGTTTGCTTTGATATCCAAACTCCTCCTTGGAAGGATGTGGTTTAACCCTGCTGACCCACTTGTGCCTTTTCCTTCCATTTGTCTGTGGATTATTTTTTTCTTTTTCTTTATGTATGCCCAATAATTTTAGAAGGATCATCATGGCCATTGGACTATGATTGTGAAGACCAGGGTTCAAATCCCCACATGGCCATGGAAACCCAGTGAGTGTATTTGGGCATGTCACCCGCTCACAACTTCAGAGGAAAACAGAAGCAAAGCCTCTCTAAGTCTTTCTTGGAAACCCTTATGATAAAGTAAACTTAGAGTCACCATAAGGCACACAACAACAACAGTGTATAACTAATACAAATAATAAGACAAGAATATCTGAATCAATCCTTACTTTAAAAACTGAAGGTACAAGGAAAAGCATCCCTTAGACTCCTTCCACACTGCCCCTATAACCCAAGATCTGATCCATCTAGAATACTTTATTCTTCTTTTCCTCATGATATGGGGAAAGGGCAACAATTATTTAGTTTTTACTTACTCTAGTGACTACTTGAAAAAAGAAAAAAAAGCCATTTTGGGAAAATATAAATAATGAAACAAGTACATAAGTTTGAAAAGGTTTCTGTAAGGTAAAATAAAACATAATACAGTAATAGTAGGAGCCCCCGGTGGCGCAGTGGATTAAACCCCTGTGCCGGCAGGACTGAAGACCAGCAGGTCGCAGGTTCAAATCCGGGGAGAGGCGGATGAGCTCCCTCTATCAGCTCCAGCTCCTCATCCGGGGACATGAGAGAAGCCTCCCACAAGGATGATAAAAACATCAATTCATCCGGGCGTCCCCTGGGCAACGTCCTTGCAGACGGCCAATTCTCTCATACCAGAAGCGACTTGCAGTTTCTCAAGTCGCTCCTGACATGACAACAACATCTCTACATTGGACATGTTATACATGAAACACCGAGCCTCTTTTAATAGATTTGTGATTAATATAAATCAGCTCTCTAACTTGCATTCACTAGTCTTTTTTCCTACAAAAATAAGCAATAGGCGAATTGAAGAAGATAGTTTATTGATGATGAGCTTTTTAAAATCAAAGTTAAAATTAATTTGAAGGATATATTTGTACTAGCATTCACACATAAAACATTTTAAACTAGCGTATGAAATTATCACAGGAGTTATTTTCAAATTGTGACTTTAACTTTGATTTTTTTAATTTTTAAAACAGTTTCTTGCATTTGAATTGTATTTTTATTGAATGTGCTTGAACATACCAAGGGGAAAAACAGTTTCAAACAATCCTCTTTCCTTAATAGTTCAGTCTTAATTCAAAAATGCACTGTCTCCAGGATGTTCTGGTTAAGATTATGCACAAATCTCTTTAGTCAGCAGAAATGCCCTTCTTTTAACAGATCTGCCACCTGAACTGCTCTGTTGGCAGAAGAACCAAAATTGAGTGGAGAAGTATGTGGTGGTGGAAAAACCTTGTGTGTCAAATGGGACCTTGGACATTTTAAAACTGTACTCTTAAAGTTTTTCTAAGATGGAAAAAGATGTGGTAGTATACAGCTGAGGTACATATATGTGTCTCTACTTTGTGTTCTCAGACAAGAGCATAAAGTGATTGTTAAATTCAGGTATTGTTAATATTGATTCTTGTTTGTTATAGGCAAGCTGGTATAAAGAATGGAATGTTTTTCGGAGAAGCAAAACGGTTATGTCCAAATCTTCAAGCTGTCCCTTATGATTTTCAGGCATATAAAGAAGTTGCACAAACCATGTATGAAACCTTGGCAAGGTAAATGTTATCATACAAAGAATTTGGGGAAATACTTCTTTAAGATCTCAGATACACCTTCAGACTTATTATGACCATTTATTTCTGTCATAATCTATAGTAGTTTGTGAATTTACATTTAAACTATGTTCTTGCAGTGCTGCATATTTTAGATTCAGAACCATCATGGATTCTGTTTTCTCAGTACCACAGTCTACTGTTTCTTCCAAGGTGGTTAAAAACAGGGAGGACTTTTCTTTTACAAAGCTTACAATAAAAAGCGCAAAATCCAAATTGAATCCTGTAGTCTTAGTAAAGAAGATAGTTATCCCAGGAGTTAGGAATGCAGCCCTCTCTTCCCCTCCCCTTTGCAAAAGTAGAAAATCCAGAAATACCTCTGAGGCTTAACTTCACATGGCAGACCCAGCTTCAGGAACCAGAGCAGCAGTACAAACTCACAAAACTATGAATGGAACACTTGCAAAAAGTGGAGTGATGGCTGTAGTACTTCCTGTACTGTTGTATTTAAGTGACATGAATGGTAAGATGAAATAATAGCGGAAAATATAATGGGGAAGCTTTACTTGCCATATGTATGTTTTAACTGTAGTTTTTGTTCTGTTTTCTTTACTTTGTCTTGGTAGTTACACTCATAATATTGAAGCAGTCAGTTGTGATGAAGCCCTAGTAGATATCACTGAAATCCTTGTAGAGACTGGATTGATACCAGAAGAAATAGCAGATGTTATCCGCACTGAAATTAAAAACAAGACCAAGTGTCCTGCTTCCATTGGAATAGGTTAGTAAATTATCTGGAAATCAGATATATCAATAATGAAAGACAAAATACTAAACAAAGATATTATACAAGTTTATCTTCTAGTAAAGAGAATTAGACAGTCTGTAGCCTACATCTAGTCAATTTGCCATATATTTTTGTTCTGAACCAACTTCTCTGAAATTTGTTATGGTCAGCATGGCAATAACCTTGTCCCCGATTACCTTCATGCATTCATCTTCATATAGCCATATATCACAATGGTTCTCAACCTTTGTTATATATGGACTTCAGCTCCCAGAAAACTCAGCCAACTTACCCGCTGATGAGAATTATGGAAGCTGGAGGACCAAAGATTTTCTCAGTATTCGCTAGACTGAGAAAAGCAGAACAACTTGTAGTATCTATATGCATGCTAAATTTAAATTGTAGGACAAATGGGAATGGTATCTGGAATCCAGGAGATCCACATTCTCCCCATTGCAGTAAGTATATCACATAGAAAATGCTGATCCTTCAGTAACAGCTTAAATTGTATGGCTAGTACAAATTAAAAAGTTAATCATCTGTGAGCCTGAAAATCACTCAATGGGACTATAAGACCACAATCCTAAATAGGCTCATCGATGTAACTGACTTCCCAGAGAAAACATGGATGTTTCTGTTACTGCAGACATAAGGCTTTACATATTAAGAGCCACATGTCTTGCTGTTTTTTCACTTGTTTGGTGCCTAGGGGAGATTTATCTTTTGCCAAAATTTACAATGTTGTTTAATAACAATAAGGAGTTCTGCAGTGTCATTCTACCATATTGTTATTTTTATAGGTTCCAATATTTTATTGGCTAGAATGGCAACTCGCAAAGCTAAACCAGATGGACAGTATCACTTAAAGTCAGAAGATGTGGATGATTTTATCAGAAACCAATTGATTATTCATCTTCCAGGTATGTTTTGGGTTTGTATAGTCACAGTTGCTTCAATTTCCTCCCAAGAGTCTACCCTATGAAATTCTATACCTTTGCAAAAGTAATAAGACCTTAAGCAATTTCTGCACCTGTCTGCTTCTTGATTCAAGTTGAAGAGATGTTCACCTAACACTCTAAACCAGGCATGGGCATACTTTGCCTCCCCTCCAGGTGTTTTGAAATTCAACTGCCACAATTCTTCACAGCTAGTAAGCTGACTGGGATTTCTGGGAGTTGAAGTTCAAAACACTTGGAGGGCCGAAGGTTTCCCATGCCTACTCTAAATATTAGGGAAAACTTACTAACAGTGATAGCTGTTCAACAGTGAAATATGCTGCCTTGGAGTGTCAAGGAGTTTTCTTCTCTGGAGATTTTTAAACAGAGGCTACGTGGCCATCTATCAGGAGTGCTTTGATTGTGAGTTCCTGCTTAGCTAGGTTGGAATGGATGGCCGTGGGGTCTCTTCCAATTCTATAATTCTGAAATTTAAATATAAACCTAACATCCAGATAACGTTGGTCAGCCATATGTCTAGGATCCAGGACTAAAATTTTTATTTTGAGCTATTTTTTGCTTTATAGAAGATTGAAAACATAAGTTAGGGATGAACTTACGCCAGAAAAGATCTACTAATGTTCAGTCATTTGTGCACATTTATAATGTTATATTTTTATTGTACTTCTTTACAAGATTAACATTCTTTTAGTTCCTGTAATATTTGATGTTTCCAAATAAATGGAAATGATGTACAGTACTAAAATTCTCTTCCAGCAGAGAAGGAGCCATCCAAGAATGGCTTAGCTTCTTCTGCTTAGGCAAGGCAAGAGATCCCCAGCTCCTCCATTCAGTTCAGTTGCATTGCCTTTGCTCAGAACAGCTTGTTCATAACATGTCATAATAAATAATATTGGATTTAGACCATGTCCAAGTGCTTTGCAAATAATTTATACTTCTTATTGTCAATTTCAAATGCAGAAATGTATGTTTTTCTTAGGAGTTGGTAGGACAATGGAATCTAAGTTGTCATCTCTTGGGATAAAAACGTGTGGCGATCTACAGTGTGTCACAATGTCAAAACTACAGAAAGAATTTGGTCCAAAAACAGGACAAATGCTCTATAGATTCTGCCGTGGTCTAGATGACAGGCCTGTTCAAAGAGAAAAGAAGAGAAAAACTGTTTCAGCAGAGATCAACTATGGTATAAGATTTACTCAGGTAAGAGCATTTTAACTTTTTCCCAGAATCATTGTCTCAATAGAACACGAGCCAAAAGAAGGCTCTTCATTTAGGTGAAATATCTTATTGCAATTTTACCTTCTACTAATGCTTGAGCATGTCCATTATTATAGATGAGATATTTGGATGTGTGAATTTGACTTGAATACATGTAATGTAAAATTGTGTCTTGCTGAATTCTGTTCATGGAACTCTTTGGATTCTCAGAGATTTGTTTGTTTGTTTTTTTAAAAAATCAGTACTTTATGGAAATTTGCTTTGCCCAAGCACTTCCTTTCCCCACTGGAATTACCTGAAGCCCCATTGCATATCCACCCCATGCTTCATGACAAGCAGGTAGCATTGGAGAAGCATCTAACTACATTGCTATAGCCAGATGCAATATGATGACAATTTCACTGAGATCTGGCAAGGTCCTCCAGGTATGCATTGTAATCCTTGCATACTTGGTTATGGGATGCAAGCCAAATGCTTCCCCAATTCTGACTTCCTACTGCAAAGTACAGAACAGCTGTATGGGGTGGCTTCAAGAGCTATGGTTCAGCACAGCATAGGACTCCATACAGATTTAGTGTGAAGGTTCTCTCTGGTTTCGTGAAAGGAGGCTTCCAGAATGCTTTGTTAGTTTTCAGTTCTTGGGATGCGAGAAAGAAAGGTCATCAAGCAGAAAGTAGTTTCAGGAAAGAAGCAGAACCTTCTTTACCTGTTTGCCAACCCATTTAATTTATTTCTAGCCAAAAGAAGCAGAAGCTTTCCTTTTGAGTCTTTCCGAAGAAATCCAATGCAGGCTAGAAGCTGCTGGGATGAAAGGCAAGCGGTTAACTCTCAAAGTCATGGTCAGAAAAGCTGGAGCTCCAGTGGAAACTGCAAAATTTGGAGGCCATGGAATCTGTGATAATATTGCCAGGTAAATGTTTTAACTTGTGGTTATTTGTTGTTATGTATTTTATCTGTTGAATTGTTGGCATCGAATTGTGCCGGTTGTAAGCCGCCCTGAGTCCCCCCTCGGGGATTGAGAAGGGCGGGGTAGAAGTGCCTGAAATAAATAAATAAATAAATAAATAAATAAATAGTTTGGTAAATAGAAGTTTGATCTTGTTGCTCAATCGTTGTAGAATTTGTTTAGCACATATTTCTTGTTGCTGCTATGCTTTAACAATGTGTGAGAAACTATCACATTTTAACAGGAGGTATCGGTGCTGTCCTTATTTTATGATATAGAGTATGCCTTTTCAAAATTATTTTCCTACTTCTAAAAATAATTCTGTGACCAAAAACAAAACCTATCATTTTCCGAAGTAAGGCAAAATGTTAGGACGAGGCTAACACAGCTAGACCAATCAAGCTAAATGCATCTTTAGGTTAGCAAAGAGAAGTATTCACTATGGAACAGACAATGTCAATTGTTTCACTGAAAATTAAGCGGGGATTACGGATTTTCCTAGAACAGTAAGCTGGGCCTCTCCAGAATCTTGTGTCACTGCCACATATGAATGTGGCTAGCAAGGCAGCACCTAAAATTCTGATACCAATGACTGATACCAAATGAGAGACTCCCTCCTGGGCACACAGAAAACCGGGCGACTTGGAAGGAACTGAACAGACTGCACTCTGGCACCACGAGATACAGAGCCAACCTTAAGAAATGGGGCTACAAAGTGGGGTCCTCGACATGCGAGTGTGGAGAAGAGCAAACCACAGACCACCTACTGCAATGCAGCCTGAGCCCTGCCACATGCACAATGGAGGACCTTCTTTTAACAATACCAAAGGCACTCCAAGTGGCCAGCTACTGGTCAAGGGACATTTAATAGAATCCCAAGTTTGCAAACTTTGTGGGGTTTTTTGTTTTGTATTGTTTTGTTTGTAATAAAATACAACTGTTTGGTTCGCTCCTGATACGATATATAAATAAATAAACCTAAAATTCTTACACTTTGTTCTCGAGGAATAATCCTTAATCCTTTCTTTATGTGATTCTGTTTTGTTTGTTTTTTTAAACCACTGATATTTTCCAACACAGGCATGATTCACTTGAAAATAAAAAGAAGCTGTGGGTTTGAAGAGATGATTCTAAAAGAGCACTTTCCAAAGCACTGCCAGTTTTCTTCTCATTGGCTAGCAACTTCCTTCTATTAAAGTGCTCTGCTGGCAACATGGAGAAGACAGTCTTCTTCTGTTTGCCTGCATCCATCATTTCTCTCAGATGTGTGCTCAGTACTATTGGAATATGGATGAAGTTACTGGGGAGTGAAAGGGAGGGGGGAAATCAGCAAAAGATTAGTTCCTCTTCATTGACAAGAGTATTCTGAGCAGAGTTAAATTTAGCTAGTACTCTTTCCAGCATAGAAAAACATTGCCTTTAATCCTGTATTGTTAACTTCTGCTTAATATTGTATGAAAAGCTAGTGTAATTCCCACTTTTATCAGAATACACAAGAAATGTTCTTCTCACGTCAGCAGTATGCATTAATGGTTTATAGTGATGTGTGAACATTTATCACATGGTAACTTCCTGGAAACTACAGGGTGATCTACAGATGACTACTAGGACTATTATGGAGGACTGTTAGAACAACTTTACAGTCTTTGTTCTCTTCGCCAACCCCTACAACTGTTTCTTCTTAAGAAAACAACATTGAGGCTGGGAAATAATTACTTCTATACTTTCTCCTGGCCATTGTTTTTCTCTTCAACTACTTCACTAGGTTGCTTCTTAACAGTTAGATAAATCTTTTTCTTCTTTGTGGTCTCTGTGAAAGTTGCACTTACAGTACTTCCTGCGTCTGTGAAGTGTGCTCCGGAATCTTCTATCATAAATATAATGGCCAGTAACCATTGTGATTTTTAAAATGTGTGTTCTTTGCAGAACCGTGACCCTCAGCCATGCAACAGATAGTGCCAAAATGATTGGGAAAGAAATATTGAATATGTTTCATACAATGAAGTTGAATATCTCTGATATGAGAGGGGTAAGTTTTAATTTCAAGTTGCTCTGATGTTTTTATTTATTTATAAATGTATTAAAATCCAAATCTTTTATTTTATCGTATATTCTGCTTTTCTCCCAGGGCAGATCACTTTATAAGTTCAATTCAGATACAGTTCAAAGAATAAATAATAATAAAAAATTATGTAGTTAAATAAATATTAATTTGAAACTGTTAAAAGGCAGTTATAACAATCATGGTAAACCTATAGCACATGACAGTTACAGGATCTCCAATGACTAGTTAACAGTCAAAGGCCTGTTATGAAAATTTTAGCTTACCAGCTTAAACAGAGCAGAGAGGAAAGAAGGCCAGCCTGTCTTGCCAAGGGATGGAATTCCATAAAGTAATACTTCATTATCTCATAAAATTGCAGAATGAAAAAGAATTAAAAATTAAGTAGTTAAATAAATATTAATTTGAAACTGTTAAAAGGCAGTTATAACATTAGGATTTAAGAGTAGAATCAGAGTAATAAAATTACAAAAGAATGTCATCAAGTGGAAATAAGGCAGGTACTTACATATGCATAACATGTGTAATTCTGATTGGTGGAACAAAAGAACAATAACCATCCAGAATATTTTAATGAGTCTAAGACAGATTTTGTTTATTTGTTGGCTGACTTGATTCATACCTATTCATTGATTTGTTGATCCCAGGCTAAACCTACAGTGACATAAAATGCCAAATAACTTTAAAAACAATTAGAAACACACACCACAAACAACACACACAGAGAGCAAACACATGGGTTCAAATTTCCTTAAATGCCAAAGGTGTGCCTGAATAAAATGGTTCCAGCATCAGAGGGAGCAGACCACCTTCATCTCCTTTGACAAGGAATTTCCCCAGCCTAGTAATTGGTACCAAAAAAATCCCTCTCTTGCATCCACTTCAAGTGTAAAATGTACTTTTGAGGATAGGGGGACTGAGAGAAAAACCTGCCCTGTTCTGAAGCGTGGTATCAAGACTCCTGATAGAAAATGACCTTTCTTTGGATTAAGCCAGTATCTCCTTTTGTAGACTCCCTTGAACCTTTTCTGATTAATTATTATTCCTTTTGGTTGTCAAAGACATAGATACCCAGATATTTTAAAGATTCTCCTATGCTACTAGCAGTGTTTAAAATATAAATTTGAATTAGATTTTGTTTAGATTATAGATTGTTAGCTTCATACTGGGTCTTGAACATTGTTTAGACATTGGGTGCCTTTGTTGTTTTTTAGGTTGGAATTCAAGTACATCAGTTAGTTCCCATTAATAAAGCAACTGTAGCAATTTCTTCTCACTCGTCATTGCAGTCTGGATTCTTACCTCAGGGATCTAATTCTATTATTGATCTTCTGCAAGTTCCAAAAGCCATAAAGAATTCGGAAGAAGACCGCAAGGAAGGTCAGTAATTTTCTTTGTAGTTATTTAAGCCTGTAATTTTTTTTCCAAAGCTCTTCAGAGATTTCATTGTCACCAGCTACTCTATATTAAATTAATACCATTAAATTATATGGTACAAGATAATAAAACACTAGTTTGGTTATATTAATAGAATAACTATGGTGTTTTGGAATGATTAAGGTTTTGTCTTGTTTTTTGCATTGATAGTATTTGTAGCTGCTGTGGATGTTGAAATATCTTCCACATCAAAATCATATCCAGTGCTGCCATCTCTAACATCAAATGTCAATCATGTTACCAGCAAATCTGAACCTGCAGTTAATTTGAATGGTTTGCATCCACCCATAAATATCAAATCAAGGCTTAATTTAAGTATTGAGGTACCATCACCTTCCCAGGTAAGATTTCCTTTCTGCTATGAAGCATGTAAAGAAAATTCTGTGTTTTTCTTTCAGTTTCTTCATGTAAAATATCTACAGATAAGATTTGTGGCCTTATTTCTTTGCTTCCCTACCATCCTGATACTATGTGATATACACCATAAATCTTTGAAAAGGATGAAGTGATTGATTTAATTATTATTAGTATGATCAAGGATAGATAAATAGAATTGGAAGAAATGTTTCCCTTTGGGGGGCGGAGAATTTAATGGCTGAATTTCACTTTATATTCATGGGAATTTATACAGACTTGAAATTTACTCAGCAATAGTCTATATCGAACAAACCATACAGACAATTACATCAAAATAAACGCATTTGGAAAATAACACAACCTAATTAAAGTTAATAGACAAAATAACAACTGAAAACATAAATACAAAATATTATGCTATAACACATTAAAGATAACAATATTAAAACCCATTTCATGTAGCTCCATCAGTAGAGGTTCAACAAAATGAATGAGCAGGGTTACTAAATGGACGTGGACTAACTATAAAAGGGCTGGACATGGGATAGTGCAAATAGCAAATCATAGGGCCAGGGAAGTGGATGAAGTGCAGGACTGAGTACTAAGTTGCTGCTGCTATGCATTGTGAATAGCAGCAGGCTAGCTTTGACATCAGCAATGAGATTCATCTATTTATGATTATAGCCCAAGCAACAAGTAAAGGAGATAAAGCAGCTTATTTTATTAAATTTATATATTTTGAATACTGTTCAGCATTGTTAGTGTGAGAACTAATATTAGTGTGTGGAGTGGTGCAAATGTGTGCTTAACATATGTCAGGTTTTTCATTTCTTCTTCTGGAACTTACTAACATATCCTTAAAATCTATCCTGTTAGTTGGATCAGTCTGTGTTGGAAGCACTCCCACATGATATTCGAGAGCAAATAGAGCAAGTGTATTCCCTTCAACAAGCGGGGACAAGCAACAGTAGCAAGAAGGAACCAGTAAATGGATACAACACTAGCTTTCCATCACATCCAGTGGGAGCCCTCCTTTTACAAATACCAGATCTCAAAGAATCAGGAAATGATGCAGAAATTAATGTAATAGCTCTACCAGCATTTTCACAGGTAAAATAGGGGCTGAGATCTTCCATTAAAAAGAGGTTGTGGGCCTCTGTGTTCACACATCTAGGCCTTGTTCTGAGTTTTAAATTGCTGTTTTTATATGCTATAGTTTTTACTTTGTATTGTACTGTGTGTTTATTTTATGCTTTGTCTCGGCACTTTGTGCCCTATGTAAGCTGCCCTGAGTCACTTTGGGGAGATGGAGAAAAATACGAGGTACAAAAATAAAGTTGTTGTTGTTGTTATTATTATCGATCATGCCATGCTGCCTTGTTACAGACTTGTAAGGTTGCATAACCAAATGTACAACCATGTAATCAATATGTGGTGATGTGCAGCAGTGCACAGTGGCACTCCGTGACTCCATGACTGTTAGGCACATTTACTCAAAAATGTCCAACTGCTTGGGTTAGGCACCAACATGATGACAGTCACTGTTTGCTTAATTATATGTTAGTATACCTTTGCATATAAGAAATTGTTACTTGGTTTTCATAATAAATTCATTATGCAGTTTTCATTACTTTGAATTCACTTGTATGTTACTAATTTACAAATAGCACAAGGCCTGCTGTGCTTTAAATGGATATTGTGTTAAAAGCAAAACAAAAGTCAGAAAAGTAAACCTTACTCCCACGTACCAGTAAAATAATAAAAAATGGACGCTTCTTTGTCTAGGTGGACCCTGAGGTTTTTACTGCACTACCTTCAGAGCTGCAAGAGGAGCTAAGGCAGGCATATGACCAAAGGCAGAAACATACAGTTACCATCTGCCAGCAGACAAATTCCACTGGTAAGGTTTGCAGCTACAGATCTATCAAATGGTGATCACTTAACAATCTTTTTAGAAACTTAATGCTATTCATTTAGTAATTTTAATAAAATTCACTGGGTTAGTTATGAAATTCTACACATTTCTCACCATGGCTCCTTTCCTTTCCAGTATCAAAAAACCCTTTGCAGAACTTGAAACCAGTTATAAAAAACAAGAAAAAAAGAAGGGAAAATAACCACGTCAGTCCAATGAAAAAACACCACAGTCCTTTGAAAAACAGGTTTGTTGGGAGCCCTACCAAAAGCTCTACTGGAAGCCCACAGAAATTAATGGATGACTTTTTAAAACAGGAAGGAGCAGCCACAGAACGTTCCCAGGTAACATTGCATGCATATGAAGACTTGAAACATTTTAAAATCAGATGTTGTTTTTGGGAGGCCTGTCATGGTTTTTTAAATGCTGTCTGCATTTTTTGTTTCTGAATAGATAGAACCAGCGCAAATCACTGCAAATACAGCCAGCACATCCATTTCACAGCCATTATTGTCTGCTGCTACTAGGCCTCAGGCACCTAATTTAGCTGGAGCTGTTGAGTTCAATGATGTAAAGGCATTACTCAAGGAATGGATTACAACTATATCTGGTAAGCATCCGGTTTCATTTATTTTACTTAGCACACAATGAAGGGACGCAACTATCTGCCCTGTAATGTTCAGGGGCAAACGCCTATCTGAAGGGGGCAAAATTTTGTCGAAAGGTACACCATAAAACCCATCTGGGACATTTGTTGTATCCTCTGGTATTTGTTTAAAATGCATAATGTTCCAAGATTACAGAAAGAAGATAGCTAACCACTTATATGTCACTTTTTAGTGATCTCTTGAATCTTTGCTGAATCCTACAATCATACATCATTACCTCATGATTAGCAATAATTGAAGTCTGGAATGACCAGAATGGTGCAGTTACTGATCTGTGAGAGAAAAGTGCTAATTTCAGCAGAATGGTGTGAAAGTCCTTCAAGCTGGGTCTGAATCTCCCTTGAGCTTCACAGATAGGACACATTACCTATCAATCAACCTTACCCCTAAGGCAGGGAGCCGATCCCACATTCTCAGTTTCACCATGCCACTACTTAATTCAGGACAGGGTTTTAGTGTTCCCTCTATTTTTGTATTTGTTTCATTGGTTTTGTTGCTGTCTGTGATTATCTTTGCCTAAACAGTTTCACTGTAATGGGCTAGGACTGTCAATCGCCCTGGCTGCTAATAGAGCACAGTCTTTTATCCTTAACTGTTTGCAACCCAATTTGGTTGAGGGCAATGACCAGTGGGCACAGCTCCAACCTCATGTGGTGAGTTGATAAGGGAGGAAGCACATTGGAGGCACGTTGAATATCTGGACTATGAGGCTCTCTCAGAGGACCTAGAGGCTGAAGAGAGTGTGGCGCATGCTATTTAATGTGTCTTTGGTCACATAGGTTCCAGAGGTCTTTCCCATCTATCTCCCCAATAGTTATTTATTTATTTATTTATTTATTTATTTTGTCATGTCAGGGCAACCAGTCAATTGTATTACATTTCTAACAGAACAAAACAAACAAACACAGAGACAAAACACAAATTTTCAAGCTTGGTAGTTGATTAGATGTCCTTTGAGCAGTTTCTGGCCCCTTGGAGTGCCTCTAGGGGTTGCCGCAAGAAGGTCCTCCATTGTGCATGTGGCAGGGCTCAGGGTGCATTGCAGCAGGTGGTCAGTGGTTTGCTCTTCTCCACACTCGCATGTCGTGGATTCCACTTTGTAGCCCCATTTCTTGAGGTTGGCTCTGCATCTCGTGGTGCCAGAGCGCAGTCTGTTCAGCGCCTTCCAAGTCGCCCAGTCTTCTGTGTGCCCAGGGGAGAGTCTCTCATTTGGTATCAGCCATTGGTTGAGGTTCTGGGTTTGAGCCTGCCACTTTTGGACTCTCGCTTGCTGAGGCATTCCAGCAAGTGTCTCTGTAGATCTTAGAAAACTATTTCTAGATTTAAGTCGTTGACGGGATGAGCTGGAGATGTCTCTGCCTTGGTCCTTTCACTATTGGCTGCTACTTCCCGGCGGATGTCAGGTGGTGCAATACCAGCTAAGCAATGTAATTTCTCCAGTGGTGTAGGGCGCAGACACCGCGTGATAATGCGGCATGTCTCATTAAGAGCCACATCTACTGTTTTAGTGTGGTGAGATGTGTTCCACTCTGGGCATGCATACTCAGCAGCAGAGTAGCATAGCGCAAGGGCAGATGTCTTCACTGTGTGTGGTTGTGATCCTCAGGTTGTGCAAATCAGCTTTCGTATGATATTGTTTCTAGCACTCACTTTTTGCTTGATGTTCAGGCAGTGCTTCTTGTAGGTAAGAGCATGGTCCAGAGTGACCCCCAGGTATTTGGGTGCGCTGCAATGCTCCAGTGGGATTCCTGCCCAGGTGATCCTCAGAGCTCGGGATGCTTCTCTGTTCTTGAGATGAAAAGCACATGTCTGTGTTTTAGATGGGTTAGGGATCAGCTGGTTTTCCCTTTAATAGGTAGTAAGAGCACCTAGAGCTTCGGAGAGCTTCTGTTCTACCATCTCAAAGCTCTCTGCTTGAGCAGTGATGGCACGATCGTCAGCATAGATGAAACTCTCTGTCCCTTCTGGCAGTGGCTGGTCATTTGTGTAGATGTTGAACATGGATGAAGCAAGCATGCTCCCCTGAGGCAGGCCATTCTTCTGTTTCCACCATCTACTTCTCTGGCCCTGGAACTCAACAAAAAATCTCCTGTTATGTAGCAGGTTTCCTATGAGGCGGATGAGGTGGTCGTCCTTTGTGATATTATACATTTTTTCTCAGGAGGAGGCGGTGGTTCACAGTATCATAGGCTGCTGACAGGTCTATGAAGACAGCTCCTGTGATCTGCTGCCTTTCAAAGCCATCTTCTATGTGCTGAGTCAGGTTCAGCACTTGTGATGTGCCGCTTTTGCCTTTCCTGAAGCCAGCTTGCTGTGGGATCAGACATAATAATGGACAGAAACTATCCTCCAGAGTACGAATTGCAAAATGAAACAGCCTTAGTTAGCAGCTGTTTTTCATCAGCCACCTAGTGGCGAGGAGTAAATAAAACATACTAAAAAGTCTCATGTGTCAGAGTCCTCTTCCTCCTCTCATGACATGAGGGAAGGCAAGGCTCTGTACAGAAAGTGTCTATAGTTGTCATTGTTCTTAGGAGATTGTTTAGCCTTCCTTTTGCCCAGGTTCCAAGGCGACACAGTGAAAAAGAGCGGCATAGATTGAATGGATATAGGGCCTTGAAGTTTTGTTTAGACAGAACTGTTTTCATAAATCTGATAATACCCTTATTTCCTTTAAAGAGTATTAAGGGCCGGTGGGTAACATTTTACTTCATCTCATTGGCTGTTAGAGTGCATTGAGTTGGCTTATTTGCAGTGGCAAACCAGTTCCAGAAGGGATTCAGGCACACTCTACTCATAGTGCTAGTACTTCTGTGACTTTGAATACAAAAGCTTCATTGGTGAAGATCTATAGAGCAGCTACTTCTTTATCTACTTTTGTCAAACACTTTGCTTCAGATGATGTATCTTTCGATAGCCATTTTCTGCAACAGGCTATCAAAAAATACAACATCTTTGCATATGTTGATGCCCACCCCAAGGGTGCGATGATCGCTTGTGTAGGTACCTGCTTGAAGGCTTGACTCCCCACATTCCTGGAGAATGGAACATTGGAACTTACCATGAATATTCTTTTTCAGTAGCTGTGGTGAGGGAATCTCTCCCCACAGTTAGTCTAGTTGTATGGCAGTATGCTTTTTGGTCTAGAGTTTTGTCATTTCATTACTGGGATTTTAGAGTGGTAAGGCTGAATGCCAGATAAAGTGCCCTGCCTGTCAAGCTCAGAATTTAAACCCACTTGAAGGCTTTTCTTCCCATGAATGCTGAAAAGGAATCTTCATGGTTAGTGCCCATGTTCTGATCATGACTTCGAATGCAGTTCTAGTGCCATGTCTATTCTAAGCCCCCAACTGCTCATGGTCTCAAAGTACATTTTCCTGGAGCTGGAGTAGAAGGATAAAACTAGTACAGGAGTATGTATGTGGAATATGTATCTAAAAACAGCAGCTATTTTACAGCAGCAAATGATTGCAGAACTTAAGTTGTTCTGCTCTTTCTAGATGAAACATTTCAAATATTGCATATTGACTGTATTGACAGATCCTATGGAGGAAGATATTCTACAAGTTGTGAAATACTGTACTGATCTGATTGAAGAAAAAGATTTAGAAAAGCTGGATCTGGTCATAAAGTATATGAAAAGGTAACATGATTTTTTGTTCACATTTCTCTGGTGGTTTTGCGAGAAATCCATATGGATTGGAGTTATGTCCATGACTACTGTGACAGTAGCATGTGATCTAAAGCTCTGGCTCTTCTGTTTCTTTCCCAGCCTTGCTCAGAAAGAACCTCCTTTTCTCTTGTTTTTCTTAACTTTGCTTAGTCATTCCCCCCCAGCCCCCTGGCTTTTCTAAGGGTTCTTTCCCCACTAGATTTTTGTTTTAAAAGGTATGCAAAAGTAGTTGAGTTTTGGGCGTTAACTAAAATTTTTGGCATAAAATTCTAATGTGACTGAAAAGGCAATCGTGAAACCTTGGTTGGAAAAAGAAAAGATAAATACCCTTCACACTTCCGTATACGGTATTCTTTTTTCTTTCTCTTTCCTTTGTGATCCAAAGTGCTGCTTCTTGTGGGTCCTGACCTCAAATGGAGAGCCCATAGCTCAGTGTTGGGGTCCCAAAATTTAACAATAATAAAAGGTTTCTGAACACCACCAATACATTTACACAAATCCCCTGGCAGCAGCTTGCAGTGTTTACAGTGGACTCTGCAGAAAATGCTTCTGCTATACTCCATAAAAAGGAAAATCAGCTTCTTTAGCTAGCCTTGCAAATGTTGATATATCATCAGTAATTGTTTGATTTTTATACCTATTTTATACACTTTGGGGTCACATTAAAATTTCTCAGGAAGAAAAAGGTCACGAGGCCTGCTCCAAAGCATGGGAAAGCAACATGAATATCTCATCTGCCTTAACCAACAATGAAGGATAACGAATGTTGTAGTCTGCCAGATATTCTAGTCCAATATTCTTATGAAGTATATGAACATTTCTAATAGTAAAGGTTTCCTTTGGTTCTAAAAGCGGGTGCGTTTCTTTCCTGCAGGCTAATGCAGCAGTCTGTGGAATCAGTTTGGAACATGGCATTCGACTTCATACTTGACAATGTTCAAGTGGTCTTGCAACAAACTTACGGAAGCACATTAAAAATTATGTGAAGTGAGCTTGTAGAAAAGGATGTGGTGAGGGCCTGGTGCTCCCCAGTAGCTGTGCCATAAGTGCTTGTGAGGTATTTGCAAAGTGCATGATAGTAAAACCAAGTTTTTATAAGTTGGAATTTTTTTTAAGGAAGAGAGTGTTTTGTACATTTTCTTTCAAGAAAGTGCCAAAATTTGTCAGTATTGCATGTAAATAACTGTGTTCAAATTCTTTTATTGTAGCATAGAATCTATTTACAAAATGTTGGTTTATAAAGGTTTTATGGATTTTTACAGTGAAGTGTTACAGTTGTTTAATAAAGAACTGTATGTAATTTGTACAGGTTCTGTTGTTTCATTACTCCATTTCAAATATAGGTGCTTCTTTTGAGAAGTTAATATTTGCTTGGGAACTCAATGACTGTGGTAATACCATCGTTTAAATATTTTTGTTTTCAAATTTTTATTAAACATATCCCATTCCTCTCATCCTTTTCACCTTACATGAACACTATATAATGACAACTGTTCTTTCATGTGATGGGCTGATTACTAAAACAATTATAAAAATACCCTTTATTCTTCAGCTTCTTCATGTTAGGGATGCCTACAGGATGACATTGATATGCAAGTCGGTTACATGTAGGGTTATAAGTGTTGCACCTGTTCTTGGCATGGACTATAACACAGATGGAGACTCCGGGGCGCTCCTGTTTTGTCACTACGATATCTAGGCTGTTGGCCCAACCAAGGGAGAAGCCAAGCCCTGAGGCCATGGATCACAAGGCACTTTTCCCACTGTTTCATGCAAGCACCAAGGCATAACACCCATTCTACAGTTACAGGGATGCATTCATTACTTGAAATTCATATGTGGAGATTGCGGTTTCCAAAAAGTACCAAATCCATATGAGAAAATTTTACAGGAATGAAAAAGGATGTTAAGGATGTGCATTCTTTTGCTATAAAATGCAATTTTCCAAGCTTTATACCAAAGTGATTTGATGCACTTTCATAATTTTGATCTGTACATATTTTACTCCTAGCCAACAATGTGATGGCACCCATAACTCGTTTTTCATTTTTTTTCTGGAAACAAACTCCAGATGACAGGTGTGACCTTAAAAGACAGATAATACTGTGAATGAGGACAGTTCCTCTTCCCCCCAGCATGTCTTGGTTCCTAGACGACAATGTACAAATATCATCTATGGTAGGCTACTTTTGCTTTCAAAATAATATTGGGTCACACAACATTATGTAGAAACCCTCTTATTCTTCCAGTTGACCATTTCACATGATGCATATACCTATCACCTATACCATATAATATGTGATGTGGGCCCTTTAAATTACTGATATTTCCCCCGTGAATAACATTTTGCACTCAGATTACAGTAACTAAACAATGATTACAAAATTGCAAGATTTTCTTTATGACCCTGTGTAACCTTTGTGAATACTCCAGCCATTTTCTTGCTCATGAGAGATTGCCCATGTGTCAGCTACGGTACAGATACACTTCAATCAACACAGAAGTTGTTTTTCTTACTACAGAAATTGCTGCTTATAGAATGCTGATTGTTGCTTATAGATACACAGCAGCACAATGACTACTAGCCAGCAGTGCCAAGTAGGACCTTTGCATGAGATCTTCCTCAATTCTTGTAATTAACCAGGTTTGCCATGACGCTGCTGGCTGTGTGGTCTTGATCAGGTCACACCACCTAAGGCTGACTTAATAATACACTAACTCCTTGGCCAGAAAATGGAATTAGTGATACACAGCTATTCAACCTGGCTGCACATCAATACTACATTTTTCTGCATGAGATCCAGAGTGGTCTAACCACAGAGGAGAGATCAAGCTCCTCCTGCTGCTGCTATGCCCCAATGGTAAGCACTGGGGCACAAGCATTTATTCAAATGCTTTCATCTCACTTTTCTACAGAAATGGGTGCTCAAGAGAACTATGTGAACTGTTCAGGATCAAACACTTAAAACTATTGTTTCATGGCTCAAACGTACATACGCTCTGCTCTGCTGCTTTTCAGGGGAATTAAATTAACCACTTATTGTCTATTGTCTTTATTTGCAGCTTAGCATTGATTACAGTTTATGAAATCTGACAAACTGTACAAGCAGTAAAAGGCAGCCAACTATGCTTTACATCATTGTTTCACAGGAAGCAAATACAGATACCCAATGACCTAATTTTTCTATCTGAAATTTCTATAGGCACAAAGCAGAAGAATGCTGAAAAATCAAGTGGGGGAAAGAGGTTTGCATAAATAAACATTTCTTACATCAAAAGAAGTCCAAGAATCACAAAATCTGCAGGAGTTTGGTTAATCAAAATACTGCAGTATTGTTACTACTTGTATAAAAGTGAAAGTTGAGTTCTGTAATAAAATTTCGTTTTCTTTTTATTTTGGGGGTGTGAGTTGAGAAGGGCAAACTTTAAAACAGTAGCCAGTATAAAGGGAAGGGCAGTGGGAAAGGTGCACAGGCACAATGGAACCACAGAGACATGTAAATTGACCACTGTCAAACCAGTGTAAGTTACTTGGTTTCTCATGGAAAACATTATCCACCTTTCCCCCCAAAATATTCATTAAATCCAGCAGCGTGTTCATTACAAGCTGTTGGCAATGTTTGTCATAGGAATTGTGGGTTTACGCTAGCCATTGCCCGTTGCCTAACAGAACTTAGATGATCTCAAATACTTTCTTTAGCTCCACAATGAGCTGCCAGTCAGTCTTCTGCATTTCATCTCTGAACCAGTCTTTCAGGGCATCAATGGACTGACGGCTAATCTGTAGAAAGAACACAACACTACATTGGCACAGAACACAAAAAAGAAAGTGTTTCCAATTCTCAAGCGGCAAGGCTTGAGAATTGGATTTTGTGATTTTAATGCTATATTAAAGATGTTTTTAATTCTATGTTTTATAGTTACATGTTATCGTTTCAGTTATTATTCTTTGGTTTGTGTAGATGTTGGCATTGAATTTTGCCATTACTTTTTGTACACTGCTTTGAGTCCCCACCATCAGGTGTGAGAAAAGCAGTATATTAATAATAATATAAATGCAGTAAATAAAATAAATAAGACCATTTCCTTACACTAATCACAAAGATGTAATCTTCAGATTTTCATATTTTTAAACAGACATCTGGTTTTTCAAGCATTAAGGCCCTGGCAGATGCCACTCCACACCCATCTCTTTGAATTAGATCAGTGTACATCAAATGAACTTGTTTAGTATACATTCACTGCAGAACACCTCAACTCATAATACTAAGACTCCAAACCAGCTGTAATGCCACATGGAGTGACTTACAACCATCTAATTGAAATGTCACTGTAACACTTGTTACTATGGCTAGTTTTCAACTCAGAAAGAGGAACCACTGGTACATCAGCCTAAGCCAGTAAAAATGGCAATCAGACCAACTACTGCTCAAAATTATTTCAGTTACACTGAAGGTGAAGGTGTGAATCTTAAGCCCCACTCCTACCTCAGATTTATGTAACCAAACCAAAACAATAAAACAACGCTTACCTTGCTGACTAGTATATCTGTTGCTTCAAAATGTCGCCCATACATTTTAGGAGCCTCACCAGGAATAGGCTCTATTTTCACACACACTTCTTGGCCTTTTTTTGCTACATCCACTTGTTTGTGATTTATTTCAATACTTGTAACTATTCCAATATCTATGAACTGTAGCCAAAAAAGAAAAAAATAGGACATTTATAGAGTATGCATTTTAAAAAATTAAATTGATGTACAGAAGTACAAACTTGTAAGGAGTCCAATATAAAAAATGAAGTAGTATTCAGAATGTGCCTATATTCTAACAGTCAACTTTTCAACAGAAGGCTTTGAAGCTAATTAACATTGCAGTCCTCTACAACACATCCTATTATGCATTATGTATGAAAACATGCAGTGAAAGATCTTGGTCTGGATTGCCACATGGTGTCTAGCAGCTCAGGGGGCACAGCAAATTAATATATCATTTACCAAAAATATCTTCTAAAACTTAACACACACATGGTCAAGAGACAGTTTTAGATCATTAATATTATCACCACAGTCTTCAAAATTTCTAGCAACAAAAGTAATAGCCCATTGCCATAGAAAAGTCATTCATCAGTATAAACCTAGATCTTAATCCAGTCTCTGCTGTTAATACCAGAGGTTACTATGTACCACAGTCCCTCTATCATCTCATCAACAAAAAGCCTGGCGAAGAGTGCAATGGCACTGATCAGTACAGAACCCAACACCAATTAAAATTCCCTTTTAAGGAACAAAATACTTACGTTTTTACTAGGTACACACATGGGAGTGCCTTGTTTTACCTGACCTGCTTCTACAATGACTCCCATCACAATAGGGTCACGAGAATTAAAAATAAATTGAGGAAGTATTTTCATTTTACAAGGAAATACTGCTATATGCCTAAGAAGGGAGAGGAAAAGAGTTGTTCAATATGTGATCTGAAAATCGCTTGTAAAATATATCCAAATATTTCTGTACCTCCTCTATCTGCCTTGACTAAAAGGAACTCCCTGAACTGCCTGTGTTTGATGAAGACAAACTGTAGATTGATTGAGACAACCGTTTACCAAGCAATAACATACTACGATGTAACAACTGCTTGGCCAGCAGCTCTTAACAACCCATTCAAGCATCGATTCTACCCATATTTATTACATCTCCTATTGTATGCTAGCATCTTTAACATTGGGAAGAATTGCAGGATACCCTCAAATAGCTTTATTTATAGATTGGTCATCTATATGAGTTATTTGTATTACCCTACAAAGTGGTAAGGAGAATTTCACTACATGACATATGCTCAGTGTGGCAAATGATCACCACAACGGGCCCAAATTCTGCAAACAACTCAGGAATAAGGGATTTCTGGTATTTTTCCTTATTCAATTAAAGACACACATTAAGAAACGTTTTTCTGCTTGCTAAATCAGAAACAAATGCATAAATAGCACTGCATCAAAACATACAAATGTTCATTTGAACAAAGCCAATCTGTCATCCTGCTTTCAGTGGAGTTTCCAGTGACACAATGAGCTGAACCCTTGTGCCAGCAGGACTGCTAACCGAAAGGTCAGCAGTTTGAATCTGCGGAGCAGGGTGAGCTCCCATCTGTCAGCTCCACCTTCTCATGCGGAGACATGAGAGAAGCCTCCTACAGGATTGTAAAACATCCAGGCGTCCCCTGGGCAACATCCTTGCACATGGTCAATTCTCTCACACCAGAAGCGACTTGCAGTTTCTCAAGTCGCTCCTAACACGAAAAAAATGTGAGAAATACAGCCCTGATTTGGCACAACTAGTAACATACATAAATCTATTTCATGTTTGAAAACACACCCACCTGGAGCTAAGATAATAAGCAAACCGGTAAAAATCTTATGCATTACCTTGCTACATTGATCAGTTAATTTCAAGTTTTGACCCATAGCCTGACACTATAAGATGTCATTTGCTCTTAAAATGCAGAACGAAGCTTAGGCCTCAAACAAAGCCTGCAACTGCACCAGAAGTGATCAGCCAAGGCATTTCAAAACATTGCAGAGCCACTGACTTACAAGGACCAAGAAAGCAATTTACAGTTCTGAATATGAGACCACAGACCAGAGCTTTCCAAACATTTCATGTTGGCGACACACTTTTCAGACATGCATCACTTTGCAACATGGTAATTCAGTTTTAATAGCAAACCAGAGGTTAAACCAACCCCTTATAAAAGATATGGCCGCATACATAAATTACAATGGTGAAATGTATCTCATAACAATATATCTCATGAAAAAAACTTCCATTTATATATATATTAAATATATAATTTGCTTATTTCACAAAAACTCAGAGGCGTCTTCTTATGTTTGCATGCTACACCTACACACTGCAGTTGACAGAGTCATGTGTCATGACACAGAGTTTGGACAGCTCTACCATAGTCTCTGATTTTTCTCACTGATTTTTATTGTTCGATGTAGTTTTTTTTTTCATGGTAGCCATTTTAAACCTACTCTCAGAGGCAAACAAAACCTTCTCATATTTTGGACCAGGACAAAAACTGAGTGGAAAGACCCTACTTACTTGAATTCCTCTTGCTTCTGTTTTTTGTAGTCTTGTCTGTATTTTGTGAAGGCATCAAAGAGGTGATAGATAATGTCTGCACTAAATATTCTAACTCCTAAACTATCCGCCATCTCTTGGGCTTCCCGTTCAATCTTCACATCAAATGCCAAGATTACTGCGTATCTAGAGAACAAAATCAGATTATGAGAGTGACACCAACAAGAATAACAACAGAAAATGTTGTTGCTTTTTGAAGTTAATTACTTACTGAGGATCGTGCTCCAACATAACTGATGCTTTCATAACATCCTTTTTATGAATGGGGCCTATATTAATTCCAGCATACTGTCAGGACAAAGCAAGAAGAAGCAGGGTTTTCATTTCAGGACTATATTGCATAACATTGGTGTACAGAAATTGGCGATAGTAGGGTGGAAAAGTAGGTACTCACTGGCACTTCTGATGTTTTGAGAAATTCAAGTAACGCCTCTAAAGATCCCAGAGTCGATGCCTGGACATAAACACCTTTCTCCTCTAATTTTATGGCATTCAGTGTTTGCTTCAATTCGTGTATTAATTCGTCCTTGTAATATTAAAAATACATTTAGAGATCCTGTTCATCTTAGCCTCTACAATGTCAGCATTCCTCTAACCAGTATTTCCAATCAACACAATGTGCCACTATTTATATACCTCTAGAATGGGCAATCTGTGGCCAATATGGCACTTAAAACAACTAAAATATCTCCAAGGCCGCACCTCTCACTGCTGACTAGACTCAGAAACTGTAGTCCAGCAACAGGGGGAGGGCCCCATGACCCCCCACCTGTGCTCTTGGTCTTGGAGAGGGCATAGCTCCATATTTCAGCTTGGAGCACTGAAAGCTCATGCAATGAAAAATGCCTTCCAGAAGAAGTATAAAGCCGCAAGACAATGGTGCCATGTCACTCTATAAAAGATCTTGGCTGAGAAATGAGACATTTCACTGGGTCCCTCTTTCCCAAGCTACATTCCCCATCATTACTCAACAGCAACACTGAACAATTATTACTGTTTTTCTCCTAACTATCTGGATAATAAGATAAGACTTCAATCTGGAATAAAGGTACATTTTCACCATCCTTTTTAGAAATTTTTTTGATTGTTGAACTTTCTAACAAAATATTCCTGACTGTCATTCAACACAAATTTCACACTGTGATTTTCTGCCTGCTGATATTTTATCCTGATTCTTACACAGCTGCTTTATGTCTTACTTTAAGAACAGGAATTTCGTCTTCTTTGTAAGCTACAAGCAGAGGCAAACCGGCCAATGTTTTCTCCAGGTCTTTTCCAAGGATCTTTACTCCCTGAGCAGCAGCCACCTCTTTGTGTTTTTCATACTGGTTCTGAGGAGAGAGAAAGATACACTCAAACACCTACCAAGTTATTTTTGCAGTTCTCTAATACAGGGCTTCTTAAACTGTGATAACACACATCAATGTCATAAGCAAATCCTATTTAATGTGGCTTCCACTATCATGTATACAATTCTTTTGAAACACAGTCCCTGAGTTACAAACATTTGACTTACAAACGGATCATAGTTAAGGATGGGTGTGAGACAACAGGAAGTGAGAGAAATCTACCCCTCGGAAGGGAAATTCTCTCCTGGAAGAGTAATCATGGGAAAATGGTGTCTCCATTGAAGCTTTCTTGTCAATTCTTGTTTCCACAACAAGCCAATTTTTCCAAAATCCAATCCAGAGACAGAAAGTGAGGTGAAATCTTCTGAATAAGGGCACAGACAGCAAAACAAACACCACAGGGGGTGTTAACCCTTCTGTATTCTACCCAAAGCTAAAAAAAAATAAGTATTTTTGAGTTGAGTTATACTTCTAAAAGTACCTGTTATTGCTTACATACATGTTCAACTTAACAACAAGCCAAAAGAACCTATCTTGTTCACAACCTGGATACTGCCTGTAGTTACAAAGCTAAGTAAGAAATTGTTAAAATGTTAAGAGTAACTATGAGTATTATCAGTCCAGGATACAAAAGCCCAGTTTCCAAAGAACTATCATTTGGACTCAACAGTTAAGCTTTGGCCACTTGAAAGGGCAATCTAGCTGAAACAAAATAGTCCAAATATTATGGATTTGTTTCCAGAAAGCCCAGGCAGAGAAGCAAACAGAATCTTCTAGCATGAATGCCTCATATGCCGGGCACCAACAGCTGGCTTTGGAGACATTCTTCCACCTCCCGCTTCCTTACCTTGACTCTGAGTTCCTTCATGGGTGGAGGCAAGAGGAGGCCTCTTATCTGTGTGACGATGGGACCCTCTACTCCAGGGACGATAATGGTATCTCCTTCCCTGAGGCACCCATTAATTAAAATGACATCTATCGTAGTACCCATCCCAGGAAGTGCTTTGACCTTAAAGAGAGAAAAAAGACACTCATCACAAATGCTTCCTCTCAATCCACAAGAGTCAAGTCTTGTTCTAGATATAGGTTCCAAATTACCTCCATGACTTGAGCCCTCAGCTCTTCACAGTGTGCCAGTCTCTTGTTTAACATGGTTTGCGTCAGCTCCACAAGAAGAGCGATGAGGCTCCCCATGCCGTCTCCCGTGTGAGCAGAGGTGGGGACCAGGGAGACAAAGGTGCGAGGGTCCTTATTCTCATAGTACAAAGCAGAATTCAGGCCCTAAAACCAGAACTACAGCATTAGAAGAGGCAATCAACAGCTCACTTTTCACTAACCTGGAAGTCATGCTAATATACATAAAATACTAAAGAGACATTAAACATGTTACCTAACATCTAGTCTTTTTTAACTCGAGACTCACCATTACATCAGAAATCTTAGTTTGAAATTTTAGAATAATATCCTATTACATGAGAAAGCTTCTGAAGAATATTGGTGCTGGCTGTTGTTGTGGGCCTTCAAACTGGTTTCAATGTACAGTGACCTGTTCATTGGGATATCTAGGCAAGGTTTGTTCCCAGGAGGGTTGCCACTGCCCTTCTTTACTCCTCAAGAAAGCATAACTGGCACATTGACACCTACTGGGTTCCTCTGGTCTCCCAGAGTCCTAATCCAACACTCAAACCACTATAACACATTGGCTCTTATGCTGGCTATGACCCATTTAAAAATGGGAATTAACCTGCCATCTTTAAGGGAAGGAAAAAGCTTCAGAAAACAATATGAAGCTCTCCCCATAGTTGCCAGATAGGTTTGTTTTAGCTTTGCAACTGCCAGAACCTTGTTGTTTTTCTTGTATTGTAAAACAGCACATGCCCACATGGGCCTTTAAACATCTTTAATTGATGTTGATATTAATTATTATCACCTGCTGGGCAAATTCCACGATGATAGCTTTTGCACGTTCCTCAAATTCATCCTTGGTGTTTTTCTTCTGTTTCTTTAAAGTGGCAGCTACATCTGTATCAGGGCTTTTTTTCCAGTCATATAACCTATCAATCTTGAAAAGACAGATTTACAATCATCATCACTACTTTTTCTGACTAGATCTGAGCAAACAGCACCAATTAATTGAGCACCAAGAAAGAAAAAACTTGTGCTTAATATTCTCATAGTCTTCACATTGTCAGTCATTCCAAAGAGCAATGCAAACACACACCTACTTCTGTAATTACTCCAATTTTAGAGAGAAACAATTTTGGTGTTTAAAAACATATTACTTATATAAAAATAAACCTTCCCACCACTTAGTAAAATTGGGAGACTTTTGTTAAAATTCCCCTTGGAAGTGCATCCTTTAGTTTTCGCACTTCTTGATGTAAGCCAGTATTGCTCTTTCACAAACAATGTGATTATAAATCAACTTCAATACTATGTATTCATTCATTTATTATTTACTGTTATTTATACCCCACACTTCTCATCCCAAAGGGGACTCAGAGCAGCCTTACAATAGGCAACAATTCGATGCCATATCAAACAGACATAATAAAATAAACATATATATTAAAACATAAAATTAAAAAGCAATATAAACATTTAAACCCATTAATTAAAACCACACAAGAAGACACCAATACATTAATAAGAATACTCTCATACAAAAGTTGGACCTCCTAACTGCAAAGATTTTCCCCAAAAGTGTATTTAGAACAACTGCATTGTTCATTCATTCAATTTACCCACCACCTTTCTCCCAATATGAAACCCAAAGCTGCTTATTAGAACCTACCTAAATTGCGAAAAATGAACTTCAATACAAAAAGACTACAAAGATTTATAAGAATACTAGGATACAAAACCTGGATCCTGAAATCTCCAAACTGCAATGCAGGCTTCAAAAAAATACATTAAGCACAACTCTATTATTCATTCATTCATTCATTCATTCATTCATTCAGTTCATACACCACTTTTCTCCCAATATGTAATGCAAAGCTACTAACAAACTTAATTCACATCCATATATATGCAAATTCACCCTGCAAAATCAGCCTCCCCATTTGCTCAAATTACACTCAAGGATTTTGTATTTACTGTATCAGTCACAGTTAGATCTTACTATAAAAGTAAACTGGAAAAAAGGATTTCATAAAAGTTCTCTAACAAAGAGAAGCAACATCATGTGATAACAATGATATGACTGTTTTTTTTCTAAATAGAATGAAATAAGGATAAAAGCTCTTCTCTTTGTATGAATCAAATTTATTCTGTGCTGAAAACAGACATAAAGAATTTGCTCGGAGGATTTAACACGGAAAAAAAAACAAGAACAGTAGTTTTAACACATGTGCTGTGTAAATATTTTTTAAATCCTCACATTACAATGCTCATCCAAAGGCATCAGTCATGATGGCTACATGCTTTTGCCAGGATCAGAGGTAACATTCGTTCAAAGAGCAGCTGAACAACAGCTAATGGCCTGCTTGTGGGTTTTCTATTGTTTTTTCTTAGTTCTCGTGGAAGAATAAGACAGGGAGAAATCATCTTACCTTGTTGAGTGCGACTATAAATGGACATTTTTTGGATTTCAATAAGTTTATCGATTCAATTGTCTGTGGTTCCAAACCATGCATTATGTCAACTACAAGGATGGCAATATCACAGAGTGAGCTTCCTCGGTTCCGAAGATTGCTGCAACATATTGGGGGGGGGGGGGGACAAACAGATGGTCAAACAGATATGATCAATGGAAAGACAAGGAGAGAACTCTTCTAAAGCAAACTGTTATCAACAGGTAGGACCAGTAATTTAGTCAGTCTATTAGAAACAAATATACAAAACATACAGCATTTTTTTACCAAAATTTCTGCTTCTGTTGGTGGTTTTAACATTGTATGGTCCAAACAAGACATCCAAACATAATTGATGGAACATTACCTGAAAGACTCATGTCCTGGAGTATCAATGATGAGCATTCCTGGGATCTTGACAGCATCTTTGTCAAACTGAGATTAAAAATATTTTTCTGTTAGGACACAGCAGGAAATGGAACAACGGAAAACGATACTGGATTGTGATTAGGACGATGAGACGACTTTGAATGGTTTCGTAGTAATGATGATGTTTTTTATAATGCTGGACTGTGAATTGTATTTTTATACTGTGTTTTGAATTGTGTTTTTTCTATGTTGTACACCGCTGTGAGTCGCCCCCGGGCTGAGAACAGCGGTATAGAAGCAAAGTAAATAAATAAATAAAATAAATAAACCTAATTTTTGACAACTGCAATAATAATAGATTTCAAACATTGAACTATAGCCTCTTTTCAGAACAACACAATCACGCTACTCTGCTGTTATGTGCTTTCAAAGTAGTAACTGTACCTTAGCATTTTCTTGGCAAGATTTATTCAGAGGAGGTTTGCCATTGGTGTCTGAAGCTTAGAGCGTGTGACTTTGCCAAGGTACCCAAAAGGAAATCTGTGCTTGAGTGGAGCTCTGGTCTTCCAGAGCAATAGTCCAATGCTCAACCTTCCGACACCACGCTGGTTCCCCACAGCACTTTTAGTATCCATTACAGCGCCCCCACCAATTCACTGGTTTGACATTTAAGAAAATATTAAGAAAATATAAAATAGTAATAAAATAAATAAAAACGTAAGTCATTACTACAACAGAAGGATCATAGTAAGACATGGCCCTGTCCATTTGACTACAGTGGGGAAGGGGTGCAATTGTGCTCACAGACAAGAAGATTGGGAGCCCAGTACCTTTCAAATTTACAACACGACCTGGAAAGGTATAGAATAAGGAGTTTCTCTATCAGAATGATTTCAATTTGACACGAACAGAATACTCAACCTACACCTTGATCTTACTATATGCATATAAAAGAATAAAAAAATCAGTTTCGTTAAGAAGTTATTTATCAAAATGGTTCTTTTTACCAGACATATGTAAACCTAATCATGTACCAGTATACTTGCATCGTTAATTAAAAACACTATCCAAATCATTACAAAAATAAAGTAGTAGTATATGGAAAGTTCTAAAAAAAGATCTTACTCACAGACTTCACCATCTTTGCTTGTTCATAAATGGCTTCAAGGGGAACGTTTGTGGCCCCAATTTGCTGAGTGATGCCACCCGCTTCACCATCTTGCACATGAGTATGCCGAAGCTGCAGGAAACAGAAAACCGAATTAGGAAAAATGTAAGAAGGATTACATTGATTAGGTGACTGATGCACACTCTGAAACAAGAGTGATGTATTTAAGTTTTGCATTCAAAGATTCTCAATTTTCCCCATGTTTTAGATGTAAGCAGCAAGAACATGCAATAGGGCCTTACCTTGTCTAGGATTTTTGTCTTCCCTGTATCTACATGTCCAAGTACACAGATAACAGGTGCTCGTAGCTTTTCCATGTTTACATTTTTATTATTTTCAATCCGACGTTTCTAGAATTAAGAAACAGAATGTATGCGTTGAACACGATGACTGAACGAAGATTAGAACAGGAGGCTAAGGTGGATCTGAGCAGTGAACAGCAAAGGCTGAAAATCTGAGATTGATTTCTAACTTGGGAAGCCGCCTTCCGACAACAGGCAAGGAGGTTCAGAGCATTAAGTGGATTGTGTCAGATATCATTCTTCCAATCGAGTCATTCTCCTACAAAGCATACCATGCACAGTTCAATTTCATGCAAGTCTATTCAGGAATATGACTTGGTTCAAAAAGCTTCCTGGGATACAAGGCAGGACATGTATTCCAACCTTTAAATACACTCCTCTTTACAATCACTAATGGGAGAAAACAGCAAAAAGACAGTGGGATACAGGAACCCCATGGGCCACATCAAGCATCATAAGCCACAGCTGTGGGCTAATCTGAAGACTTCCTTCTGCAAGCATAAGGACATCTTTTTTTCTTAACATAATATTACTGACATCAAATAAAGGGTTCATTCAAGGGAGAAGTGAAATGATCGCCCCACCTTCCCCCCCCCCCAATACACACAAGCAGGGGCGGCTCGTCCATTACGTGAAGCAAGCGGTCGCAGAACACTTTTTTTTTTGCCAGGGGCGCAGAGGCACCTCTGTAAATGCCCCTCGACCGCCACTTGAGGAGCGCCCCCTCAGCTCACAACAGCCCTAGCAGTCCGGGGGGAGCCTTGGCTTTCTTGCCTCGCTGCCAGGCAATCCTCTTCCCAAAGGGGCCGGGCCCTTGAGCCTCGCCTAGCCCCTCTCGTTCCTGCTCCACCCGGCCACCGGATGCACGAGCAGAGCCGGCGCTCAATCGTTCTCCGCTTCGATCCCTTCCCCATGACCGGCTCCCTTTCCCGATCCCCCGGCGCTCCACCCGCCTCCTCTCCTCTCCCCAATCCGCGGGTGGGCCAAGGGGCGGAGCCGCCGCGCCTGGCCCGCTTCGGGTCCGGAGGCGTGTCTGAAGACCCCAGCATGCGCACCAAAAGTCACCTCTTCTCCTGACTTTCTCTTCAGCCATTGGGACCAAGAGAGAGAGAGAGAGAGAGCCCCTCCGGCTGGAGGTATCTCCCACCTCCGCTCCCTCCTTTGTTTTTGCGCCTACCTTCAGGAAAGGTGGGCATCTCCACCTCTCTCTCTCTTGGTCCCAATGGCTGAGGAGAAAGTCAGGAGAAGAGGTGACTTTTGGTGCACACGCCAGGGTCTTCAGGCACGCCTCCGGACCCAAAGCGGGCCAGGCAAGGGAGCAAGTGCGGCAAGTGTAGTTACTGGGATGTATAGTTCACCTACAATCAAAGAGCATTCTGAACTCCACCAATGATGGAATTGAACCAAATATGGCACACAGAACTCCCACGAAAACAGAAAATATATATCAATGATTGGGGGGGGCGCCAAAATACTGTTTGCTTACCGTTGAAAATTACCTAGGGCCGCCTCTGCACACAAGGAATAAATTGTTAGGAGGTAATTTCCAAAAAGGGGGGGGGGGAAACACTCAAAAAGGAAAAGAAGCAACAACAGCATTAGAAGCAGTCCTCTAATGACAGCAATGTGCCAGCAAGGGGTAGCCAAAGCCACTCACTGCCATTCATGAGTACAGCTGTCACAACTGCTCTTCTACTTGTGCAGGAAGGTCTTGAATATTCACAGGGAGAAGGGGCAAGAGTATCACAATACTGAAGGAAATGTCAACAGTGTGATCAATTTCCACCAAAAGGATCCTAGCCATTATCTATATACAGTTTCAGAAAGGAAAAGACCAAGTACCTCAATTCGCTGTTTAGCTTTGTCATAAGAACGCTCTTCTTTAGTGCGATCATCATCCGAATCAGATTCCGAATCAGAACTTATTTCTTTGTTTAGTTTTTTCTCTGTGGTTTGTTTGGTAGCAGCATGAGACTCTGTTTCTCTTTCATCTGAAGTCTTCTCATCTTCACTACCCTCGCTTTCTCCATCTTCATATTCCTCACTCTCGTCCTCGTCCTCATCTTCGTCCTCTTCATCCTCATCCTCATCATTTTGCTCCTTGACTTCAATATGAACAGTTTTCCTCTCTGACAAGAGCAGATGCAAAGATGAAAGATTATGTAATAGGCTTCTAATCTGAAAAGAACTAAGCACAAAAGTTCTCTGTGGTCTTACAGAAAACAGGTACTATGTACAGAACTTTAATTTCACTTCACTCAAACATATGAACAAAAAAGACACGCTGCATCAGAAAATCTAGCCATGTATGATTCTAAACTTAATGTTGCATCTTTGTAATGTTCACATTCTAATTCATGATTTTTTTTACATATGGGTCTACTTTCTTTGTTTAACCAATTATACGGGACCATGTATTTTACTGCTTTAATTTACAAGAGGCTGGATGCTAGACAAAGAATAAAAACAAAACCTGTAACCACAGGAATCAAGTGGAGTACACATGTATAGGTCAAGTTAAAATATATTTCTTTTCACAATCAGTACTGTTTGCTTTTTGTGTTTCCACAAGCAAGAAAACAAATGAAATGTTTCAAAAGAGGGAGACGCCTATGATCAACAGCGGATTTTACTCCTTTTCCAACACACACTCACCCTTCTCTCTTTCTTCATCGCTGAGCATAGCTTCCCAATCATCTATTCCTGTCTCATCAGTTTCTTCTTCCTCTTTTTCTTCTGAAACAACTAAACAATGGCAAGACTAGAAGTAAAAATGAACTACAGACAGTCTCCAAGTTATAAACACCCAAGTTACAAATGACTCCTAGTTAAGAACAGGGGTGAGACAACAGAAAGTGAGAAAAATTGACCCCTCGGAAGGGAAAATCACTCTTGAAAGAATTATCATGAGGAAAGAGAGCCTCAACTGAAGCTTTATCACCTATCTTTATTTCCACAACAAGCTATTTTTTTTTCAAAATCCAATTATCACAGAGACCAAAAGTGAGGTGAAATCTTCTGAATATGGGTACAGACAGAAAACAAACACCACAGGGGTGTTAATCCTTCCTTTTGCTATGCAAAGCTTAAAAAATATTTTTGCCTAGTGTTACAAAGGCGACTTTAAAAATGTACCTGTTCCGACTTACAAATTCAACTTAAGAACAAACCTACAGAATCTCTCTTGTTCGTAAGTTGGGGACTGCCTGTACCATTATCTTGTATAATGATGACAAAAGTAATATGGGATGAGGCAGACATATGGATCAGCCACACATTAGGCAAAATTTGAGTAGAGTCAAAGACTGCTCCCATGATCTCTCATTAAGTCAAGTGAAATAACACTTCTCACTGGGATAGCTCAATGATTTAGTCTTGGGTTGGGTAAAGTATGACCCTGAAGCTATGCATGGTTCCTAAGGGCTGTTTCTGTAACTCTTGAGAATCTCCAGATCTCTCTTGTTGCACCCAAAAAGTGGTTTGTCTTGGAAACTTTCAAAAGCAGAAAATAACTTTTTTTAAAATAGGCTGAAGCATCCTACATGTTGTTTCACAAAAGTAATTGCTAATTTTTCAGAAACAGAATTGGACTACTGATCATCACCTCTTATTCTCTTGCTTGTTTGCTTTTGTGCGTTGCATGCCTTTACAGCCCCTGGAAGGTCCAGAAAACTGACCCCTACTCCCAACTCTCAATCCTACCATGATTTAGGTAAAAGCAACACATAATGCCCAATTCAATACTCACCTGGTTCGGTTGAAAGAGCAATTTCCTCTTTTACCGGTGCAACTTGTTCTACAGCTTCTTCTGTTGGAGAAGACAATTCTGCAATTTCTATAATTGCAAGAGAAAATTACTACAGCACTGCTGAAAGGCATTTAACAAGAGACATCATCCATTTTAAAGATATTTGCTCAAAGCAAAGCTACTGGAACCACAATTTGATTAAAGAGTCTTGCAACACCTTCAAGACTAAGGCATTCATTATAATAAAACACAAGCTTCCAGTGAGCAGTGTCCACATCATCAGATGTATCAAGTGTTGTCCTAAGGAGGCACATAGGATTTTGGGAGAGTGGGGGAAAGGTGCAAAAAATATAGGGACTGTGAGAGTATCAACTTCTTCAAAATCTGATCAAGCGCTTCATTCAATAAGCAGCTCACCATTACTTAAAGTTCAGATTTCATTATAAAGCACAATATTCTGTTCCAAAATCCTATTTAAAGTTTCATCATCATCATTATTATATTTATATCCCACTTTTGCTCTCCCGAAGGAGACTCAAAGCAGCTTAACATAAAAGCATTATAACATACAATTCAAAATATGCAAACATTAAAACAGAATTAAATATAACTAGTATTAAAAATAGATGTGAGGCAGTGGTATAATGAACACTAATAAATACCGTACGCCACCGCATAATAGTCACACCCTCTTTTTTTGGCCCCCCAAATTGGTCTTTTTGTTTTTATCACATAATACAGACTCCATGGCAGAGCAAAATACTCCGAATGCTCGAAGTGATTACAATATCAGTTATAAAGAAATACTCTGAGACCCACTTTCTCCTACAATATGTAGACACAACTGAGTTTCTGGATTGTCAGTCATTACTTCTGACTGAATAAGGGGAAAAGAATTGTTAAATTCAGGAAATCTATAGATTTCTCTGTGATAGCATGTTTATCCCCCATCAGATGAAGACCAAAGACAAGAAGAATAAAATTTTAAAATTTTATAGTTGCTTTTGTAATTCAAATTCCTATTTCAATAAGGAAAGGGGGCTGAAGGATGCATGGACATTGGTTTTCAGTCTCAAAAACCAGTTGAGAAGGGCTTTTGTCGAGGAGGTAAAATAAATCCCTGACTTCTTTCGCCATACCTGGACCACCGAAATGCAAACTATAATTTTAGTAATTCAAATGCAATTGAGGCCTTTTATTTAAAAATAAATACACAGGCCCCTGAGCCAGGTTGGAACCCATGAGCACCAATAAAGGGATAGTTAAATTTGTCTCCTGTAACTGATTTTTTAAACATAAATCCCCTCCAGTGATGCCATACACAAGTACTTTTTTGAGGAAAAAAAACTCAATTAGTGTCAATAAAGGGTTTTTTACCTTTTTGTCAGCCCTATGGCGAGCACATTTAAGAAGAAAACTGACTTTAAGAAGATGCAGAATACATGGAAGTGAAAGGATTTAAACTGTCTTTTGAATTTTGGGGGGGGGGGTGTCTAGTTAGAATCCTGTCAATTCCCATACTAACAAAAAAACTGCATTTTCCCAGAACCAACTGCATTTTCCCAGAAGTTATTGAAAAGCAGTAATTCTGGAGACACATGCAATGCTCTTTCACTTTTGACTTGATGAGTGGGATGCGAATCAATCATTGCCCAATGGATGACCTCAGGGTCATGGCGTAACTGTGCTTGTGTATATTAACAGTAGCCTCAAAGCTTACAGCATCTACATCTCTAAGACTAACTCCCATTTAAACAACATTCCCACCTTCTTTGTTTTCCTGCTGCTGTTGTTTCTTTTTCTTTTTGTCTTCATATATTGGTCTTTTTTTGGGTACAGAATCTTTGGATGGCACCTCAACACCTACAAGGAAAGTGATCAAAACATTCAACACAGCTAGAAAGTTCAACACATTTGCCGAGTATGCAAAATTTCTGCTGCACAGTAACATATATAGGCAGTCCCCGATATCTGTGTTAAATACAACTCAAGCGTTAAGGATTGTAAATTTATCATAGGAAAAAGATGTCTCCATTGAAGCTTTATCACCAATCTCTGTTCTCACAACTCCAAATGTTCAAAATCAAATTGTCACAGGTCCAGAAAGTGAGGTAAAATCTTCTGAAGTGGGGCACAGACAGAATGAAGAGACATTGCAGGGGTGTTATCTTCCCCATGCTATCCAAAACTAACTATCAATCAATCAAATGGAGTTACATTTAAAAATGTACTGATTCCGACTTACATACAAATTCAACTGGAGAATAAACCTACAGAACCTATCTTGTCTGTAACCCTATAAGGCTAAATATTTTGAAACAAATAAATCAATACATCCAACAAGCTGAATACTGACAAGCTTCTCAAAATAGTTATAAATGGATATTAAGATGTCATTCATACTCCATCAGAGAATAAAGAGACTCTGAACACATTTCAGACCCTTAATGGGTCCCATGATATTCATAAAACCAAATACCATGTGCTTGAGTGATGGATTAGGACTCTTGGAGACCAGGATTCAAATTTGTGGTTAGCAACTAAATATCTGCTGCTCAACTTTGGCAAGTCAAGACACTCTCTGAGGCAAAATGGAAAGCTATGGCAAAATCCTCTAAACAAATCTTGCTAAGAAAACCTGGTGATAGGGACACCTTAAGGTCACTATTTGAAGGCACACAGCATCAGCCACAATAAAAATCTTCCAGAGTTTTTTACATGGTTAATTTAATTTATTGTCAAAGGCTTTCATGGCCGGAATCGCTTGGTTGTTGTAGGTTTTTTTGGGCTATATGGCCATGTTCTAGAGGCATTCTCTCCTGACGTTTCGCCTGCATCTACGGTTTTCAGTCCAAATTTAATTTGCTAGAACTAAGGACTTCTAGCTCCTAATTTGGGAGCAATTACCCATAGCATACAATTCACACACAATGGTCATCGGCAGCTTCTATTTTCTACCACTATTTTTGTAAAAGTGGAAGCAAAGAGTTAGCAAACAGTCAGAATAAGTCCATAAAGAGTTTGTATATAATGTGGTTGCTTTTCCTGGGATATGATTGTTCAAACAAGACTATTAAAACTTCTGCTCCACATGATTTATGCCTGTACTGATTGAGTCTAAACAAGGTTACAAGCAAGGAATGTACCATACAAATCACTCAATGTACAGTTTATGACAATTTTACAAATATTTTAAAAACAGGGCTGTTCTGTCCATCTTCGGTATGTTTCTGTCATTTCTTTTAACTGCCCAGAATTGAACTTTCCCTAATAAAAGAAATTTGTCATGGAATTTCTCCTAGTATATGAATTCTATGCATTATTTTCCTGCTGGGAACTGTTACTAGCCGCTTTTACCCTACTGTTGGGGGAAAGGAAGGATATAAATAAATAAAATGTACTAAATTAATTGAGGAAATTAATTTAGTTACCATATGAAATCCTCCAACATCCATACTGGACGTAATTCCCACGTGATTCAACAGAAATTATTATGGGACATAGCAGCACAACATTAAGCAGCTCACACATTATACAGACAAAAGAGGAAGAAATTGAGTAAGTGAACAGGAGTACTGAATGCTAAAAGCTTTTTAAAATTTCCTAATAAATACTACTATTTACATTCCTTTCCAGCTACTAAACATAGCATTCTGCTGAGATAGCACGGTGTAAAGCTTTTCCTTAGTTAGTAAACTAGTTAAAACATCAGGGTACACATCAAACTTTACCCTGCGCTTGCAGTAGTTTAAGAGTGGCCTCTGCTCTGGCTCTCGCTTCCCTCTGAGATTTGGTTAAGAGCTTTCCCTCCTTTTTCAAACGTTCCTTCCTCTCTTTCTCCTTTTGTTTTCTCCTTTCCTTTCTTTCTTGTTCCAGGCGTTCCTACAAAATGCAAACATGAATGCATCACACATTCAGCACATTCAATTAGACTTTCACAAGGAATAACCATTCACTGACAGCATGCTCCCCTTTTGATTTGGCTGCAGTGCAAGACCCAACAGACCCAAAAGGAATGTTTTATGCAACTGAATTGGAAAAAATACTAAGATCTTGAAAATGGAAGCACCAAGAAAATAACCAAAAAGGTCACTCTTGGCCACACTCCTGATTTAACTGTTCCCTCAGGCATCTTCCATAAAAAGTAAGGGAATACATATTATCTTTCTATAATGCTGAAGTCACATACATAGGAGCCTGCATTATCCAAAAGAATGAGAGATATTACCTCCTCTAGCCTTTTGGATTCTAGCTCCTCAAGTCGCCTGATGCGCTCTTCTTCCTCCCGCTTTGCCCTTTCCTCCTCTTCTTTGAGCTTTGCCAAGGCTTCCTGCATTGCCTTCACTGTGGCTTTACTAGGACCCTTTTTCTTCTCTTTTTCTTTTTCTTCTTTCTCTCCTTTCTTTTTCTTTTTCTCTTTCTTCTTTTTTTCTCCTTCATTATCATCAGCTAAATAAAAAAGACAATTGCTCATAAAAACAAATCAAAAGCTGCAGAAAAGCAATAATGCAAAAGCTTCTGCACAGACACTCGTCTCCCCGCTTACAACATGGTTTTCCCCACTATGTCCATGAACAATTTCTCAACTTCCTTAGTATTTCATCTAAGAAGCAGAGGGTTTGCTTTCAGAATAATAACAACAGTAATAATAATGTAGGGTTGTTGTTGTTGTTGTTGTTGTTGTTGTTGTTGTTGTTGTTGTTATTATTATTATTATTATTATTATTATTATTATTATCCTACTTTATCCCTCTAAAAAGAGAGACCAAAAATGACTAACTCTTTAAAAAGGCAATATATAATTTAAAACTTAAATAACACAATGGTGCATGCACAGAACTTACTATGTGGGCTTTTAGATTAATGTATATGAGAATTAACATCCACAAAGATATTTACCACAGAACAAAGCTAGTCAAATGAACCACCTACCACATGAAAGCAACAATGTGATCAACCACAATGTATATTTGAATAAATTCAAACTATCTTTTTTCCTCCACAATAGGACAATTTAAGAAATAAATTATTAGTAGTGAACAAGATACTGCGAACAGGTTTAAACCATGACTGGATCAAATGACAAAGGCAGTCATCAAGTCTCATTTTGAAAATTGCCAAAGTGATTAATTCACTCTGGAAAATGGACTGGCTATCTTTTTTTATGATCAACATAAAGGTATATAGCTGAAAACCAAGTGGAAAACATTGAGAACAGTATTAGTGCAGCATAGCGACATTTCACCAAATGTTTAAAAAACAGGCCAAGAGAAACTCAAATCTCTCGACTCTACTAATTTTCCTGCATTTAGACTGTGCCTTTTTCTCAGCTTGCCTGTTCTCTGCCAAAATTAAATGAAGTTTTTAAAAAACCCCACTTTTTTCTCCAGTATTACTAACCTTCTGCAGCTTCTCCCTTTTCCACAGTGATGGGTGCTGACACTGAATCCGCAGCTGTTTCTTTTTCAGCTTTCTTTGAAACTTCCTTCTGTTTTGCCTGATCTTTATTGGCTTCCATGTCTTCTTTCTCCTTCTGTTTCCTCAGTCTGGCCTTTTCCTCTTCCCGTTTTTTCCTCTCCCGTTCTTTTTTTTCTGCCTTTTTCTGAGCCACTGTTTTGATTTTGAAGGCAGATTCTGTATCTTCATCACCACTTTCAGCGTCAGCCACTGGTTTGTCCTTCTGGTTCTTCTTGGGTCCCTTTTTAAACTCGGAACTTTCCTCTAATTCCTCACCACTCTCCCCAGAGGACACTGGATGGGTATGCTCTTTGGATTTCTGGGCTTTTCCTTTCCTTTTCTTGGGATCAAAATCATCATCCTCGCTGCCAGAGGGAGCTTCCTTCTGAGATTTTGCAGTTTTTTTAGATTTTTTGTCTTCCATTTCTTCACTGTTATAATCATCATCATCATCCAAGCTAGTCTTTTTATTCTTTCCTTTCTTTTTCTTATCTTGTTTTGAAACAGTGAATTCTTCATTGTCGTTCTCAATCTGATAAATTTAAACATCTTTCTTAAAGTCAACACGTCTAGAAAGACTTTTAACAGAAAGTAAACACTGAATGGGTATTTTGTGACAACTAAATTGCAAAAGCAAAATTTGCCTGATGCAGAGTAAGCTACAATAACATTTCTAAAAAATCAATCACTCAATATTTAAAGGAAAACACATATGTAGCAAGTATTTTAGGGTGACAGGATCACTGCATGTGGAAGGTTGTAAAGAAGAATTTCTCAAACTGTTGACCTTACAGTGAAAGTCTGCCATCTACTGAAATATTTGTATAAAGAACTGACTGTATAAAATCTGTCCATGGTAAAATACACACAAGCACATTACTTTCCAAACATAAAACAGAGTGTGTATTTTTTTTCTGGCACCACAATTCTTTCTTTTTTTTTTTTTTAGGATTTCAGAGTTTTAATCAAGGTTTTCAATATTTCAGCTATCTTTCAGCTAGGCTATTATTCAATATTACTACATATAATTTTTACCTTTATTGCAGCTGGTTCGTTTTCAACTTTTCCTCCTTGTGCCTCTAGAGACAATTCTTCCAATTCTTTTAAGATATCATCTTCACTATAAAATGAATTACATCCTTTGAAATACACATTAATTCACTTGCAAATACATAAACAAACAATAACTGGACAACTCTACTGCCTACAGCTGCCTGTTTTTTCAGCTTCCAACATTCTTTCTCCTTTTTAAAACCAAATCAATGGATTTGAAAGGAAGGATAGAAACAGAGTGGAAATTAAATAATGGCTATCTATCCCTTATCTGGAACCCCAAATTTCAAAATACTCTGAAATCCAAAACTGTCCACATAGGTAGTTAAGATAGTGACATCTTTGCTTTCTGATGGTTTAACATGCACAAAATTGGTGCACAAAATTATTAAAAACATTGCACAAAATTACCTTCAGGCTATGTTTATAAGATGTAAAGAAACATAAATGGATGTCATGTTCAGACTTGAATTTCATCTCCAAGATAGTCATTACATCTATTCTAAAATCTCCCCAAAAAAATCCCAAATGCAAAACACTGCTGATCCCAAGCATTTCGGATAAGGGATACTCAACCTGTATTATTCTAGTCCTTATGTGGCCCACTGACCCTCTTTTTCTTATATTTATAAATGAAGAAATACCTTGCAAATAGGGACAAGACAAATAAAATTCCTCACACAAGTATAGTCCTTTCCTTGAACACATTTTTCATTCTTTTAAATGAATTGTGGTTGCTCAGAGAATAGTAGCTAAGCTTGTCGTCAAGCCAGAAACAGTAGGTTTATCCCACTAGTGAGAATTCAAGCCATACACACATATGTTATACATTTATTTTCCTGACTGAAAACAAAGCACTACAACTGAAGTGCCAATAAGCCAGATAAGGCAAGGCGACAACAAACAATTGCCCTGGTAAACTCACACACAACTATAGCTATCACTGAAAATCTTGGCTCCTAGATGCAACTTTTGAGGTGGGAAAAAATATCCAAAGAACACATCTTTATATATTGATTTCTACTACTTTTATACAGCGTTAGACTTCTTTAGGTTAGGACTTAAGAATGCTTACTCATATTCTGTTTTTTTCTTTTCCTTTTTCTTCTTGCCTTTAGACTTTGGAGGTTCTTGCTCCTTGGCAGCACCTGCCCCCTCTATTTCAGCAGCAAGGGCATCAAGGTCAATATCATCCTTGGCACTAGAATTTATGGAAACAAACTGCTTAAAAACATGCAATAATAATATTGTTTTACATCAACATCTGTTTTAAGTTTATGTGGTTTTACTGTACTTTGTCTTTTGTAAGATGCTTTGAATTCAAGTCTGCAGAAAAAGTAAAATATAGACTAAATTATGGATATTCCAGTATACATTAGACTCCACAACTCGAATCTCCACTATCAACTATATCTGAATGAAGAAATTTATTTCAGTCACATGTCATAAGTAAAACACTGTAATTACCCCTTTGAATGCTATGTCTGCATCCTATGGAATTCTGAGGTTTGTAGTTTAATGAAGCAGCAAATTTATCAAGGTGGGAATTATAAATGCATCTTCCAAACTGCAAATCCCATAATTTCATTGGACAAAATCATAACTCTGTATATGTTTAAACCAAAAGCACCCCACAGTGAGATTTCTCTAGAGCAGTGATTTTCAACCTTTGGTCCTCCAGGTGTTTTGGACTTCAGCTCCCACAATTCCTAACAGCTGGCAAACTTGCTGCAATTTCTAGGAGTTGAAGTCCAAAATACCTGTTAAGATAAAAGGTTGGGAAACAATACTCTAAAGCCAAGCATGATTATCTTCAACAACATACTTCAATGATAGCATGAAGAATTGATCTTGACATGCATATGAATAAGCTATATTAGCTCCCCTGCAATTTCCCTGAAGGCCTTGCACATCTGACTCTTGATTTTCTTTGCAATGCTGGGCCTTAACTCTCTTTGCAGCTGAGGCAGCTTGTGTATTTCCTGAGGAATTTAAACTGCTTCTCTCCACCCCCACAAAAAAATATTGATATATCCCAAAACAAATTATCTCATCTGTAGGCAAAGCAGGAAAAAAATCTAAAGGTTGTTAACTCCATTACAATATAGTAGGGAGGCCCCAGTGACACAGTGGGTTAAAGCGCTGAGCTGCTGAACTTGCTGGCTGAATGGTCACATGTTTGAATCCGGGGAGCAGGGTGAGCTCCTGCTGTTAGCCCCAGCTTCTGCCAACCTATCAGTTCAAAAACATGTAAGACAGGAAGGTAATGGCGCTCCATGCAGTCATGCTGGCCACATGACCTTGGAAGTGTCTATGAGCAATACAGGCTCTTCGGCTTAGAAATTGAGATGAGCACCAACCTCCAGAGTCAGACATGACTGGACTTAATGTCAGGAAAAAACCTTTACCTACGGTATAGCAAGTTGGGCAGTTGTGCTACCTCTGGGAACATTTTTTTTTTTGTCTCTGGATCCCCCAGAGAAAGTTGCTTCTGGAGTGAGAGAATTGACCGCCTGCAAGGACATTGCCCAGGGGACGCCTGGATATTTTACCATCCTGTGAGAGACTTCTCTTATGTCCCCACATGGATCTGACAGATGGGAGCTCATCCTGCTCCCCGGATTCGAACTGTTGACCTTTCAGTCAACAATCCTGCCGACACAAGGGTTTAACCTATTGTGCCACACTTTAAAATTCATGGGGTGACTTTAAGACAAAAGGCACATACACCAAGACTCTTTTTTAAGGAAACATGTTATAACAGGGTGAACACCCATTAACCCAATTTCTGAAAGCCAAAATCCACAATTAACCATACCTTCCCTTTCTAATGATTCCATGAATGCAAACTTTGTTTCAGGGGCCCAAAATATTTTATAAAATCATCTTCAGGCTTTGTGTAGAAGGTGTATATGAAGCATAAATGAATTTTATGTTTAGGTTTATGATCTCAAAGATAGCTCTCAAAGATAGCTCATGTTGCAAATTACAGATATTCCGAATCCAAACAATACAGAAACTTTGAAGGGATAGTCAACCTATCCGCTACAGAGCACTGAAGGGAGCCTGACAGGGGGAAAATGGTTATTAATGTCCTGAAGAGACTGTCCCTCCCTGATTGAGGGCCCTTCCACACAGCCATATAACCCAGAATATCAAGGCAGATAATCCCACAATACCTGGCATGTATGGCAGTGTGGACTCAGATAACCCAGTGCAAAGCAGACATTCTGGGTTATGTGGCTGTGTGGAAGGGCTCTGAGGAGAAATGCATGCTGTAGAATTAAACCAGTTTGACAGCGCTTTAGTTGCCATAGCTGGATGAGATGGAATTAATGGAGCTGTGGTTTTACAACATCTTTAGCCTTCTCCACCCAAAGGTGCTGGTGCCTTACCAAACCTACAAATCTTATTGGCCCACTGTGGTTTAAGTGGTGCAGATCAGGCCTCTTCCAGCGTCTTCAGTGGCTAGGAGTCCTGGGCGTTGGAGGCCCAAACAGCTGGAGGAGGCCTGGTGTAGATGCCACCTGAGACCAGTGGTTCTCAATCTGTGGGTCCTCAGGTGTTTTGGCCTACAACTCCCAGAAATCCCAGCCACTTTACCTGCTGTTAAGATTTCTGGGAGTTGAAGGCCAAAACATCTGGGGACCCACAGGTTGAGAACCACGGCCTTAGTCGCAGGCTCAGTGCTACCCAGGCCCCTTCCACACAGCTGAATAAAATCCCACATTACCTGCTTTGTGGACTCAAGATAACCCAGTTCAAAGCAGATATTGTGAGATTTTCTGCCTTGATATTCTGGGTTATCGGGCTGTATGGAAGGGCCCATAGTCAAGGGAGTTGTAGTTCACTCTACTGTAGAGGAGGCTACAGTAGAAAACTGAACTCTCACGGCTCCATAGCACTGAGCCAAGGCATTTCAAGTGGGGTCAAGCCGCCTTCGTTCTTCAGCGCCGATGTGCCCTCTGCCTGTCTCTCTTTCTCCCACAAACACACACACGACGAGGAGGAGAGAGCCGAAGGGAGGCCGCTCTGGGCCTGCTTCCCTCGGCCACCCAGAGCGGCCCTCCGCGTGGGCCCCGGCCTCCGCCTACCTGTCCTCGCCCTTGTTCTTCTGCTTCTTGCCCATGGCTCGGCCGACACCAACCGCCGTCCCTCAGAGGCCCCCGCCCGCGTCTCTCTCCCGCAGCCTCCGCCAAAGGCCCGGCCAGCCGCATCCACGCGCAAGGCCCGCCGCACATACGGCAAGCGAGAGGCCGGGGCCGGAGTTTCAGTCAGCAGCCGCGCAGGCGCTTTGCCTTCCCTCCGGCCTGACTGCCTTGCCTTCCTTCCGCCCGGACAGACAACCAACCGGAAGCGCTCCCAACGCGTGGGACGACGACGCGGAAGAGCAGGAGGCGGCAGACAGAGAGAACGCGCGCCCCCTCTGGCCGGAAGAGGAACAGCGCGGCGCGTGGAACATCCAGGAAGTACACGACAGTCGTAGAATTGGAACAGTGGTTCCCAACCTTTTTTTGACCAGGGACCACTTGAGCAGGGACCACTCTCCAACATTAGTATCAAAAGAGGTTACGAATCAGTTTTATGGTCAACTTTAGAGTCTGTTTGGTTATTTGGGGTGGTGATTCAGACAATTGCATTGGATAGACCACATCAGCTCTAGTTTCTGATACAGAAGATAGGCCATCCAGTAGTCGCCATCTACTCGCCCGTAGAAAATCATACAGCCTCGGAACTGTAAGAGGGTTTTGCAAAAGCAGCCTTTGTTGCAACGGTGTAGTAACGGTGGTGCTGCGGACCATATTTTAGTTCTTGCAGACCACTGGTGGACCTTGGACCACAGGTTGGGAACCACTGAATTGGAAGAGGCCATATGGGGCAATCCGGTCCAGCCCCCTGCCATGCATAAAGACTCAGTCAAAGCCCCCCAATAGATGGCCATCCATCTGTCCCCCCATAATGTCCACCTTTCATAAGGACCTGAAACCCCAGATGTTTAAACAAGCTTTTGAAAAGGCCTAGTCCCTAGTTGTTCTGTGCAATTGTTACGCACTCTTGCACTACATCCCATGCCCTCCTCTCATGGCTGTACCTTTGCACTTCTCCCATTCCCTTGCTCGTTGTTTACCCTCTGGTAATGGTTACAGTAGCTTACCACCAGAAGTGCATCTTTTTAAAATGAGTTTTAAATTGTTTTATATGCTTGTTTGTTTTATTTAATTGCATTTTATATTGTGTTTCATTTTATACTGTTTTAAGGCACTTTTGTGCTGTGTGTAAGCCACCTCAAGTCCCTTTGGGAAGATGGTAGTGGGACACAAGAATAAAGTTATTCTATTGTTATTATCCAGCCCCTGCTTAAAAACCACCACATTCTGTGGGTCTAAGGGCACAAGAGTTCTCCCCTATAAATGGAGGACTCCAAATAAAGAAATTGCCTTTTTTTGTCCCTAGGAGAACACCTCTCTAGGAATGTCTTTGTTTATATGGAGGAAGTTGGCCACAGAGTCACAGTGGAGGACCTAAAGATTCCTAGAAATAATTCTTCTTGGTACTGGGTTGCTGTGGGTTTTCCGGGCTGTATGGCCATGGCCCAGAAGCATTCTCTCCTGACATTTCACCATAGATGTGGCGAAAGGTCAGGAGAGACTGCTTCTGGAACATGGCCATACAGCCCCGAAAACTCACAGCAACTCAGTGATTCTGGCCATGAAAGCCTTTGACAACACATCTTCTTGGTACTGTTCAATTATCCTGGCGGAGGCCACTAGGGGACACTAGAGAGATAATTATAGCCCATTTTATGGGGAGAGAGTTGGAAGAGGAAAACCATTTCCCCTGTTTTTGCTGGTTTTTCCCTCTCCCCCGTCCCATATCATAAATAAGGGTTGTTTCCACAACAGAGACATGGGTGATGGGAATAACAGGAACACAAGGAGAAATGGTTTTCCTCCTTCAACCCACCCTCCACCCCCATAAAATTTATTATCCTTCTCTAGTGCCCCCAAGTGCCAGGGTAATGGAACACTACCCTTGTGACGATGTGTAACTTCTATTCTTATGGTTATGTGTTGTTTAAACAGTAGTTAATAAATTGTAAGTATGTAGCATTATATTTTGTTAGAGATGGTGGCTAGTGGCTTGAGCTGAGTTGCCATAGCAACGGGGGGCGGAGCCAACTATCACTTCACGGCGCAGCTTTTTGAAAGTGGCAGTCTGTAGCCGGTGTGCTACAGGGAAAACTGAATCTCTGGGTGGAGATTCAGGGAATTAATTTGTGACCAAAGGGGTTACAAAAAAGGACCCGGTAGTGATAAAGCTACAGGGGGTTATTGATTCTGGGTTAAGAATCAAGGTTTGGCTGTGAGCCAATTCTGTTGAATAGGCCTTTTGGCTTATTTGTTTTGTTGGGACAGTTGTCCAGGAAAAATACTTCTGCGTATAGAAACCTCTTGAAGTCTGTGCCTGAGGTTACTCATGAAACCTTACTAATGTAACCAGTCAAGATTCGTGCCTCTTGTGAAGAAACAATCAAATCTGATATACCTTGCTTGTTCTAATAAAATTGTTACTGTTCTCCTCAAGCCTTGCCTGATACAGTTTGTCCTAAGTTGAACAGCCTGCAATAGTAAAGTCAAGCCAGGAAAGTAAACGCTACACTATCAAATAAATAAAGCCTTCTGTAATTAACAGTCCCTTTATAAAATAGCTCCTAGGTTGATATTGATCGTTGCCTGGCTTCCCTCATAGATTAGGTGGCAGTGGGTGTTTTACCACTCGCACCTTCACATTTGGTGGCATTCGGTGGCATTAAAACGGTCTTCTTCACAATTGGTGGCAGCAGTTTAACAACTTCTTCACAACCCTCTTCTTTAAATCAGATCCATAAGTGATCAAAACCACCAGTATGACAGAATGGCTGTAATATTATCTCTCCCCGTGTGTGTAATGTGTTGAAATAGTATATATAGATATCCCTTTGAAGTTGTTTTATGTTTTTGAATTGTTGACACATTATGACAAACTGCATTAATTCTTCGGTGTAGCTGTACCTTCAAAATGATCTATGATGTCCCTAAATTAAGAGACAAAGTCACAGTGCAACTTTCCATTACAGGAGAAACTACATTTGTGATACAGGAGAAACTAAATTTGATTGCAGAGATAGCTGCAATCAAATCATGGCAGAAATATCAAAAGAGGCCCAGGTGAAGGCAGGAAAGAAAGCATGGTGTTAAAGCCAGGAAAGAGAACATAATATTAAAGGCAGGGAGCTGGTTGCCTTTGGGTTTCATAAAGCATTGAAGTCCATTTAATCATACAGGCTTGTCAGTCCTTTTGCCCTAAATGCATTCCCAACTGGAAAAACAAACAAACAAACTGAGATACCAAGAAAGAACTCAGTTTGCATCTACTAATTTGTGGGGAGCCTTTAATTAAAATGCACTGGAGCACTGAAATGGGTTATATTTCTACATTAACTATAGGGTCTCATTTCCAAGCATTTCTTACACTTTACAGGCGAAGGTGACTTAAAGAGAGGACATTTAACATAGGAAACAAACAACAGAGATGTATTTGATAATCCTTCCATGTACACTGGCTCCTGCATATAACTGGGGTTATTGCCATTTCAGGGTGCATCTACACTGTAGAATTAAGGCAGTTTGGAATTACAAGCCCCCCACCCCACCCAAATATTTATAGACAATCAAGAGTCTAAACAAGTTAGATGACATTTCCTTTTTATTAAAACACTAGCCGTCCCCTGCCACACATTGCTGTGGCCCTGTCTTTGTATAAGTGTTTTGTGTGTGTATATATTTGTGTATATGTGTATATATGTGGTTTTGCACATGCATTGTAATGTATTATTTATTATTTGGCTTTTTAAGTCTCTTCCACTGTGTTTTTCAGTGTTTTTATGAGTGATGGTCACTCGTTGGCCTGAGAGGTGTTTTGTGTCCAAATTGGGTGTCGATTCGTCTAGTGGTTTTTGAGTTATGATAAGCCCACAAACGAACATTTGTTGTTGTTCATTCGTTCAGTCGTCTCCGACTCTTTGTGACCTCATGGACCAGCCCACGCCAGAACTCCCTGTCGGCTGTCACCACCCCCAGCTCCTTCAAGGTCAGTCCAGTCACTTCAAGGATGCCATCCATCCATCTTGCCCTTGGTCGGCCCCTCTTCCTTTTACCTTCCACTTTCCCCAGCATAATTGTCTTCTCTAGGCTTTGCTGTCTCCTCATGATGTGGCCAAAGTACTTCAACTTTGTCTCTAGTATCCTTCACTCCAGTGAGCAGTCGGGCTTTATTTCCTGGAGGATGGACTGGTTGGATCTTCTCGCAGTCCAAGGCACTCTCAGAACTTTCCTCCAACACCACAGCTCAAAAGCATCGATCTTCCTTCGCTCAGCCTTCCCTAAGGTCCAGCTCTCACATCCGTAGGTGACTACAGGGAATACCATGGCTTTGACTAGGCGGATCTTTGTTGCCAGTCTGATGTCTCTACTCTTCACTATTTTATCGAGACTGGACATTGCTCTCCTCCCAAGAAGTAAGCGTCTCCTGATTTCCTGGCCACAGTCTGCATCTGCAGTAATCTTTGCACCTAGAAATACAAAGTCTGTCACGGCCTCCACAATTTCTCCCTCTATTTTCCAGTTGTCAATCATTCTTGTTGCCATAATCTTGGTTTTTTTGATGTTTAGCTGCAACCCGGCTTTTGCGCTTTCTTCTTTCACCTTGATTAGAAGGCTCCTCAGCTCCTCCTCGCTTTCGGCCATCAGAGTGGTGTCATCTGCATATCTGAGGTTGTTAATGTTTCTTCCAGCAATTTTCACCCCAGCTTTGCATTCATCCAGCCCCGCACATCGCATGATGTGTTCTGCATACACATTAAAAAGGTTGGGTGAGAGTATTACATTACATTTTTATTTATATAGATTTTCCGCAGTTCCCGAGTTGCAAAATACTAAAGCACTAGAACTGACGTAACTGCAGCTGAACCTTACAAACCCTATTAGATCTAACACATCAATGAATGTTAAACTTGAGATTTTATGTATAACTTGTATCTTTTATGTACTGTGTCAATTCCTACAAGTATAAATTATATCAGATGAAGTGTTTCAAAATGTATCCATGCCTTCAGTTTACACAATCTCTTGGAAAAGGAAACCACAGCCAGGGTGGTTTCCTTAACCAGATAAATATCAAAATCCTTTGTCTGTGTGTGTGTGTGTGTGTGTGTGTGTGTGTGTGTGTATGCAGACAGATGATCCTCTTTGTCACCAGGGTAAGCTCGGGATGTTTCTTTGTTTAGCTTGAAGCAGACAGTCCA